AGCCAATCGTGAGGTTAAAGTGTGTGTGTGTATTCTGTGTGTCTGGAGTGTCCTTGTGCGACCGTGGCAGTCTTGTGCCAGAGGGGGCTGGATCGGGACGGAACAACTAGGTTCCGGTGTCTACCTATCCAGGTGCCCTCTTTGCTCACCTTTAATCCAACATACCCACTAGGGGGCTGTCAAAGGAACAGTAAATACACCCTGACATGGTGCAATATGGTATTTTGCTGTAGATTAGCCTTGCCGAGCATACTTGAGAATGACAACAACATTTGCAGCGACCGCTCACATTCCAAAGGCTTGTGACCCTTCTAGAATCTCACATAAACCTAATAAAACATATAAATTTATAAAGGTAATATAGCGAGTTGGCATTACAAGCGAGTTTGCACTTGTTGTGACAATCAGGCCTGCAGCTGCGCTGGTTGGAGCTGATGGGTTGAAATATCTAGATTCAACAATATCTAAGGAAGAAGAGGCAAGGTCGGAAAAGAACGGGAGAGCTAGGAGTATATATGTAAATAAATATGTGGAGGTATTATATAAAACTGTAACACTCGTCATGAACTCTCTAGCTGCTATGTGAAATAACTTAATCACAACGCATTCAATTTAATTCAAACAATTGGATTCCTTTTCTTCAGAGGTTTCTATTTCTTATAAGGGTATTACACCGGCATGTCAGGCCGAGTGGTTACCGATCGGAGCCCTAAGGCTCCACTACCATATCCCCTCAAAACGCCTAATTCCCACAAACATACCAGGCTAGATTGAAGTAGCCTAATATACCTATTTCTTGGAATCACCGCCATCACCTTGCTTTAGCATTTAACAACCTTAACCCCTACATTTCTATTGCACAAGTTCGCGCATTATGGCCAGTGTTGCCGCAAATGCCACACCGTTGCTCACGCGCTGCCGTCCTCTTTGGACGATGATTACTTTCACCTATTTCCTGTCTTGCCAGTTCAGTATTATCTTTTATAGTCTGAAGACTTATTATATCTTTAATAGAATTTTTTTTTTTTTTAAATATTTGTTTTTTATTTTCTGGTATTCATTTAGTAAGTGATTGGCCTCTTTTAGCTCACAAACCCGGGAATTATGACGGCCTGCACGGACCTTCCCACATGACAAGCCGATACTTCCCAATAAGGGAAAGATCTGACCAGAGGATCCCCTTAAAGGGGCAACCTCCCGCTGTACCTATCTCTCTTTCTCTTCCTTTTCTCTCTAGTCTTGGTATTCTCGTCAATAGAGTAATAGCTGCTTGCTGCCGGCCATCTCCCAGCTCCTCAGTACGCTCACCGTGACAAAAATCAACCAAAGTGACCTTATACATAAGACCGTATATAGCCTTTAAAAAGAAGCTCAATGCATCAATTATTAATATAGGTAAGTTTCTTTGGTGGTTTCTGACTCAATTTTGGATATAAACCAATTGGTTTACCGCTTTGTTAATAGTGGTAGGCGTCTTTCAAGTCTAAATAATCGGTGGCAGATTGGGATCTGGCAACAATGTTCGTACAACAGCGACAGCGTCCAGCTTTAAGATAACACTTTCTGGTCAAAAGGAACAAGCCCAGTAGCACTGAAACCTCCTCGAATATTTCCTGGTGTCATAACAGTATTATGTGTTTTACAAAACGCTGTAAGGAAGTTCTCCTTTGAAACATCGGTTATATAACGCTGGATGAGATCCTTAATCATATGACTGTAAGCTCTTTTAAGCGGGCTAAAATAGCTGATATCTAAAGGCTAGAGCCTTTGTAATGAGTGGACAGGCATATAAAGGATAATGATACCATTATTCTGACAATAATTATTTGAGACCTAGGAATAGTGGCTTTTATGGCCATCTAGGATGAGGAAGTATTTACCAGCAGTCATACGCGGTCTGGTATACTTGTCAAAATGCTGATTTCACTTCAAACCAATCTCATTTGTAGTCCACCCTGTCACGAAGCGTAAATATAGAGTGGATGTAACAGTCCTGCTTTCACTACGTACGTGTAAGAATCTCTCGGTGAAAAGAGAAAGAAGGATCTGGCCTACCAGCTAATCTAGTAGCAGTTAAGGCAACACGTCTTGTGCGCCAGGTCACCTGATGCAGCGCACTGACCACTGCAGATGGGGTGTCAGTCCTGATGGGAGGTCAGACCATCACACACCCGTTGTTACACACAGCCACTTTCTAATTGCGTAGTAGTGTCATGTCGCAATACCATGACGCGAGGTAGGTTTTGCCCTGTACAATAGTGAAAGGTTGGACCACCCAACTATCAGTATTAATAGCAGAGATTGATATAGACCATTCTTTGTTGCCTTGCTAAGCTTGTCTAGACCTGCCACGTCTTTCGCCGCTTATAAATACCATGCCAGACCCAATAATGCCTATTATAAACCCAGTCTTATCAAAATTATAAATATCCGCATCATGGATACCATGTTTTGCGATTGCTGCCACAACTTGGCAAAACCACGTGCAATACGCGTCTAAATCTTCATTTAAGACCCTTTGGTAGTTCATCCTCTGATGAAAACACGTCCGGAGGCCTGGTATGCGTTTAATGAAGTTCCGCGTCCAGTTCTTTCTAATGCGTCCAGCCTCACATACCGCCAACAATTGATTCGCCATATCTTCAATATAAGTGTGCCAGGGTGGAAATGCTCGCACATCCAGGTCAAGAATGAAGGAAATAATGACATTCTCATTGGAAACTGTAAGTTTTAAAGTATTGCGCAAGCTGTTGCGTTGTGATGGCATTCCGTTGATTCTATTGCTCAAAGTGGAACAAGAGATATTAAAGAGTTTTGCAAGCTGAAATATAGAAATATGAGGGTCACATCTTTTAGCTTAGACAGCTAGCTGTAAGTCTGATTCATTGTAACGCGGTGCCGTTGTATTTAGTGGAGATATAATGGTTTGAATCGTGTGTAGTAAAAAGTTCATGATGAGTGTCAATTCGCTTCTCAGCTACGTTATCGATTTTTAAAGAAAATAATATAAACTAATCTTTAAATTAACTTTTAACGCTTGTTTAAAAGCTTAATATTATCTACAGCACTAGAAGCTATAGCGGGGAAATAATGATTGTTTTATATATAATAACTGATATATTTTACAACTATCAGATTATTATACAATTATTATATAATAAACAATTATTACATGGTAAACCTTATTATCTAGTAAACAATTATTATATGAAAAACAATCATTGTATGAAGTGGAGCGAACAGAGGCTTTTTATTAGGTGAAAGTTTTAACTAGGCAAACAGAGGTTTTTAATTGGCTAAAACCTCGAATAGCCTTATATAGCGCTTTATAAAAAATTCTTTTGAACAAAAATTTCATTTCGTATTTTCTACTTATTCTCTTTATATTAATTAGTTAAATCTTTTATTTTCAAGTTTTTTACATATTATAAAGGTTCGAATATAAGGTTTATAAGCTACTGAAATTTAAGAATTACGGGTTATATTACAACCCTGGCATAACAAATTATTAAGCATAGCAAGCATTTATTTCCGAGCCATTATATCCGTTATTTGCTTGTTACGAGGCTTACAGCTAGCCAGCACACAACGATTGTTTTCTATGTAATAGTTGTTTACCATATAATAATTATTTCAAAACAACCATTTTTACCAGGCACCTTTTACCGCTACGGTAGCTTTATTATTTAGAAAAGTAAAGGTAAAAGTATAAATATAATAACGGTAATAATTATAATTATTTTTATATTTTTGCTTTTAAATAAAATATTATATAACATATATAAGATATTTATAACTATATTATTAGCCATATTTTAAGAATTTTAATAGTTGAATAGTTTAATTTATAAAGGTTATAAGAGAAAATAAACAATTATTAACATTTTAAAAATAGCTACTTTCCATAAGCCGTGAAAAACTTATATATATAAAGGTGTAAATATAAAACGGTAAATAAAATAAAATGATCATAAATACTTAATTATAACGTTTTAAATAATTATTGTCACAATTCAAGGTCCAATATTGGGGTGAATTGCTTGTGTAATCGTCTATCAGATCTGGGGACCAAATCTAGTACTAAATACACACCAAAGCACAAAGATCCGCCCATCCATTAATCTAGCAATCAATGGAGCCTTGTCTGTCACTCTGAAAGCCACCACTTCTGGTGCCTTCACCCCTTTTATCCTTTGACCACATATTCTGGTCAGATACAGCTGCCTAAACAGCTGCCAACACACCTGTACAGCACCCCATATCCTAAACTAATTATATATACGTTTAAACGCAGATTTTATATTATTTTAAAAAGGATAATATAAGTGGTGTAACTATAATAGCGCCGGTGTTTATCCGGCCCAAAAAACTTCGCGCTTACAGCGCGCTCTTATCCCTTTCGGTCTAGTCCGCCTCACAATTTAGCTTAAGCTCAAGCAAGCCGAGAGCCCTGTAAGCAAGCGCTATAGGGCCTTGACTTACCTGAAGCTGTTGAATGGGGGCCGGAAATAGACACCGGAAGATCTCCAGTGGGGCAGAGACGCACAGGGTATCTGACCCACCAAGAAGACAGATGATCAATCTCTGTAGGCTGAAGAAGCAGAGCAGAACAAGAAGAACAGAACACACTTGACGACCTGAATGATCAAAACTCGCTTGCATCTAACAGAAGCAAGCACTAGGGTGGCTTAGCTTAGGGGGTCCTTATTGGACACCCTGACATTGCGAATGGCATGTCGCGGACCTCCTGACGTCTCGTCACGCGAAGCTCAGAAATGCCAGCACAGGAACTAAGGGTAAAGAAGCCAGCTCCAGCAGTGCCTGAAACACCATGTCTTTTTACCAAGGCGTATCGTCAATCATAACGAGAAACCGTTGCTAACATGACAGCGTGACTTCATTTCATTCTGTACTCATACAATTCGACATCGATGATGCGTATCCACTATCAACGCATACAAGCCATCAGCCTTGGACCAAGCTGTCTTCGGACGAGCCATTCACTCTGGAATCTTCCGCCTCCTGAGGTGCCCATCAGGATCCTCGACCTGAAACACCTTCGTCCTCCTCTGCCATGCCTCGCTATCAAACAAGTCTCTCCGACTGCCAGGCTCTGGAACGACAAGGCCCGGTTCAGAGGCCGGGCTCTCACTTATTGCGTCTCTTTGAGTTTCGGTAAGATCAATCGACTGTTTAGGCGCTCCTGGAGGCGATCCAGGTGGCGGTCGTGTCACTTCCACCTGCGTTGGTCGAGCGAAGGTCGGCGGGTTGCCTTCGAGTTCGAAGACGATAGTATCGCTGCTTCCCCTATCCATTGCGCCATCGTGGCTTGATTGCTTGGATGCTGGACGAGGCTGATACACGAACAGCTGCGATAACCCGCGGCCTCTTTCGCGTCGAGGAAGGGTGAAAGAGCTTCTCGGCGTCTCGGTACGCAACTGCTGCACCGCTGGACCGGACACCGGGAATCGGGACATCTCCGGCCGAGGCGGTGGAGGCATTGACTGAACACCCATACGTGGTTGAGCCATACCCGGTTCTAAACTGGTAGAACGGTCTGGCAAGCTCAACCTAGAGTCCTGGGATTGCAGCCTTGTCACAATCGGTGAAGCTGGAAGCTCTGACAAATGGCTGGAACCCCGATGGCTTTGTAGGGATGGGCGAGCAAATGGACCTTGCACTTGGACGTGGCCGCTCACTGCCCCTGGCGACATCGAGCCGAGGCGAACTGGAGGTTGAAATAAAGCCTGTAAGCCGCTGTTGGCTGGAACTGGCGCTGTGTACGCCCTTTGACTTTGCGGAGGTGGTGTGATGAGCTTTTGGTGTGATAAACAGGGCGAATTTGGCAGTTCGTACACTTGAAAAGAAGCCGGCGATTCAGTTCTGGATGATACTGTCTCTGGGCTGGGAGGCAAGTAGTTGAACGGTCGCACTACAACTGCTTCATTGGGGATGCCAGCCGATTTCACGAATCTGGTTTCCTGGGATGAGACTGGACGTTGGACTGGAAAGCCGAGGGCATCGTGTCCGGTAGCCAGGTCACCAGAGGTGGACTGCCGCAATGACCTCTCCGACGGTGTCGTGCTTGTCACTATTTGGTGTCAGATAGGGAGGCCCGCGCGGACGGACGAGAACATACCTAGAGGTATCTTGCTTTCGCCGAACAGTGATTTGAGCAGGCCAAGGTTTTCGAACTGCCTCTCTGCCTTATTCGGCATTGTCTTGGCAGGGGCTTTGGTCTTAGTTCCTACCAGAGTCTCTATCTCCTTCAATATGGCGGCATGGTGTTCACGCAGACTGGGCATCTGCGTGGCAATGCTCTTGACATCTGCTGGGTCCCACGCGAGTGTGAGCATATCGGTGGCGGTCTTCTCAGACACCTGAGTCTCATACTTTGCTAGGATGCCGTCAATATCCCCAAGACCAAGAGTCGCAGCTGTGACGGCCCAGTCAATGTTAATAAGCGCCTGGATGTTGGTCTCCAGGCTCGGGATCTTTTCGTCGCGCAGTTCGATCAGACGCTTGGTATCTCCGCACAAGGCTCGCATGAGATCGAGGCAGTGCGGGATTATGACGGGCACATCCTTGGCGTTGCAGATCCAGCTGCTCATGGCGGTGATGGATGCCAGTCTCTGTACGGAGGCAGCGCGCTCGAGCGCCATGTCGTTAGCTACGCCAGCTTTGGATGCATTTGGGGCTGTATATATGGTAGTGGAAGCATTCTCATATCTTTTGGAAGCCTTCAGCTGGGCGTGTTGATAGCTGCCGGTCGCCTTGCTTGCTGGCCAGGTGGGAGGTATGACATTCGGGACACAAGTACCACATGGGGAGGCTGAGCAGTACCGCTGAGCTGGCGGGTGCAGACGACCTAACCGAGATTGGGGGCCATCCTGTATGTTGTGACCCCCCTGTTCTATAGATAGCATTTGCCGTGATCCTTCAGCAAGTTCTGGAAAGGGTTCTCTTAGAATCTGTTCCCACGGACCCACCTAGGATTGACTTATAAAGACGTCCGAACATCAAGCGTGGCAGCTGGATATCCTGCCCAGTGAGGTTACATCTACGTACTTGACTGACGTCCTCAAGACCGTCACAGTGAGCACCACTTTACGCGGGGCACGGGTAGTGCTTGCCATTATGCTTGCTCCTCTCGCATATCGAGCGTCTCTCAATTTGATACTAAATAGAAGCATTCCCTGAATGCCCTTGAAGCACAATTGGAAAGGATAAAAAGGATGGCGTCCACGAACGGCACTACCAACGGCGTCCCTCCTCATGACAAAGTGGCCATCGTCACCGGCGCGACGGTATGGGTCCCAGCAATGCGCCCGCGAGTCGCCATACTGACCCGTGTACGCCTCTGCAAATAGTCCGGGATCGGTATCGAAACATCTGCACGCCAAAGGCTGGAGAGTCGCCATTGTAGGCCGCAAGCAAGATGCCGGGGAAAGCGTAGCATCTGCCATCGGCGACCCGCAAAGGGCTCGCTTCTTCCAGGCACACCTCGACGACTACGCCTCGCAGGCCAGCATGTTCAAGGCCGTTTGGGCCGCTTGGGGGAGGATCGACTTGCTGTGTGCGAATGCCGGCATCGTCGACAAAAGTAGCCTGTGTATCTACGTCTGGAGAGGCAAGTCGGTCGATGAGATACCCCCGGCGCCAGACCTTCGATGCACCGACATCGATTACAAAGGCGTCATCTACGGCGTTCAGCTGGCAAGTCACTTCATGCGACACAACCCTGCGCCTGGCGGCAAGATCGTGGTGAACGCGAGCATCGGCGGAGTCTTTCCTCACATGACATACCCAGAGTACTGCAGTGCCAAAGCCGCCGTGATCCAGTTTGTCAGAGGCGTTGCGCCGTTGTTGAAATCCAAGGAAAACATCTTTCTCAACGTCGTGTTGCCTGGTGCTGTTGCCACTCCAATCGTGCCTCAGGAGATGATGGCAGCTGTTAGTCCAGAATGGTGCGCTTCCCGCGTTGTCCGCTCTATCGTCTATTGCGTCAGCTGACTGATCTAGTATCACTCCAATGGCAACCATCATTGCTGCCCACGATAGGTTCATCGACGACGAGACCGGTGTGGCCGGCCAGGCTCTAGAAGGTTCGGTAGATAATCTGATACCGTACGATTTGCCGGAATATGGCAATGGGTATAAGACCAAACGCGCCGTGACGGCGTGGGAGCCTCTTTTCGAGACGATGCATGGCGAGAAGTCCGGATTGCCTGATGCTATCCCTTGATCGCCCCTGGCTTTCTTGGTGATGAAATCTTATGACACGCAAGTTCGTGTTTGTGTCAGAAGAGGGGGCGAAATCGAGGAGCAGTGTCCTCGACATGGAGGGGTAGCATTTGACGTGAGTTTGGGCCTCTAGTTCGGCACTCTGGTATCATACCCTCAACCGGAATAATAATGGGCATGGCCGCGAATGGCAATCGGAAACGAACGTGGCGTGGTCTCAAAGAGGGACTACATGTATGACTACTTAAGTATCAACCAATGCATCGTCCAATGATCAAGCGACCCTCTAGGAGCAATTGTCAATCAAGGACCCGTAGTTAAAGTCCACAAAGGCATCTAATAAGACCGACTCCAAAACAAGCTTGTATACCGTCGTCGCCGTCAGATATTCTCAACCATTGGCGCAACGATGGAGTGACCAGTCGAAGGGTATCGCCGACCATCTTCGTCGCTGACCTTCTCGAGTCCAGGACAGACAACTATGACATTCTGTCTCCCACCACTATCAAACCGGAACCGGTACTCTGAAGGTTGGGAGAATAGCAGGTAGCCCAGCGTGACGCATTCCACAATGACTTCTCGGAGGTGGTTCTCCTGTTCGTATCTGTCCTCGCGATCCCCAGCTGCGAAGGCCCCTAGGAAGGTGTTGAGGGCCACGGCCAGTTCTTGAGCCTGCTGGGTACTCGCGTCCTCTGACGGCACAAGGGGCGTTCGGTCGCTGCGGTGCGGGTGGAGCAAGAAGGCAGATAGCTGTCGCCATCGAATGAGTGCGACTTCCACAGCTACATCGGGACATGTCAGCACGAGAGAACGGTTGGTGGACGTAGTGATGATCTTACCTTGACGGCTACCCCTATAATTCTCGGTCGGCGGAATCATGGAGTAAAATACAGCGACGGTCGGCGGGAGAAGAGAGACAGGCGAGATGCCGTCCATGGAGATGCTGGCGAAGGTGACGGTCGCGATGACATGCTGAATAGCCAGATAGCGAGTGCTGGGGTCCATCGCCAGCGCTGCGAGGCGATTGGCTGTCATCGATGGGTATTGGTCCAGTCCAAGCTTTGTCAGGGAGTGGATTAGCATGTCGGAGTTTGATACTGGCTGGAGATGGTAGTTATTCTCGACATGCTGCTGGATCAGGTGCGCAAGCGATCGTAACTCGGCACCGATCTCGCCGTCAGGCTTAGCATCCAGCAAGAACTCGTTCAGTCGCAACGGGTCTGCTCCTGAAACGCTTGGAGAGCCCTTCTCGGGACCAGCATACTCGACAGACGTGTACTGAACCGGTCGACCGGTACCCTTTCGTCGACGGAAAAGAAGGAAGGCGATTGCTAAGCCTAAGAGCCCTCCCGCGACGGCGCTGGCTACAGCAATACCGGCAATAGCTCCATTGCTCAGACCTGGTGATGAAGTTGAAGTCAGACTCGTACTCGGACGAGGCGATCCAGTTGGGCCGGGGGTTCTTGTCGCCGCTGGGTCTGTTGGAGACACTAATGAGGATATACCTGTTGGTCCTTGGGTATCGGAGGGAGTTGGTGGCGCCGTGTCCGAAGGGATTGCTGGTGAACCGGTAGACAAAGTGCTGGAAAGCGACTCTGTAGTTTTCTGTGCGTTCCAGCTTTCAAACTCAATTGTCGTGACTGGCCCCCCAGCTATAGCAGACGCGCTCCAATACGTAAATACATCGTAAGTGTGTGAATCACTGCCTATACCGGTGTGAAGGAACGACGACGAGATTTGCCCAGGAGACAGAGTCATGCTCAAAAATGTGAGTGCGAAGGCCACAGGAAGAAAAGCGATGAAGCATATGCCGCAGTCGGATTTTGCAGAGCGGTAAGGGATAGGAAAAGGGTCACTGAGATGAGAACTCGGTGCAAGCTCACAAGTTCCAAATTTGCTGCGCTTACTTCACCTGGGTCCTGACTTTGGGTCATCTTCATCAGCCGCTCATAGGTAGCCACTCATCCTGGTCAGCACCGCCCATGGTTTGTGACTGCAGTAGGTAGATTGGGATGGAAACATATCCCTACGTTAAGACACACCGATGCAGCATCCCGTTAGCATTGTCCACCAATGAGTTGGTATTCTGGACGTACGAAGTCTACCTTGTACTCCATTTTGAGAGATGTTTGCTCTTGCGCCCATCAACCACATCCCTCCCGCCAATCTCAGTGATGCCCTCTCCATCGAGTCTTGAAGAGGCGCAAATAAACCTCGCTCCTCATTGAAGGAACTTTTTGAGCTGATCCACTGAGCCAGCAAGGGTTCTGCGTGTTGGTCAGCTTCAGCCGCAGCCTGCCTTCAACATGCATGTCTGCCCCGTGGGGGCTGCAGCTATACTATTATAGGCGGCGGGTGGTCGGTAGCTGCTCTGTTATGGGCAGGGTACAGCCGCCTTGTACGCCACCAAAGGAAGAAACCCCCGCTCCTGTGTCCCAACGACATGTGCACTTGTGCAGCAAACCAGCCTCCTTTCGACACAGGAGCCAATGTCCCTGAATCACACCGTTACATTCATGTGTTGGTCTCCCGACCGGTCACACACAGTCGACACAGGCGCCATCGAACCGATGGACGTTTCCTTGGAGTGAGACAGAAATGGGCTGGGTCGTTCATCAGGGTGAGCTGCAGGCGCCTTCATGTACCTTCGCCGCCAACACCACCAGGAGGCTGTTCATCCATATGGCCGTGCTGTGCCTCTCTGCTATATGTACCAGTGGCTTATCTCCTGGCCTGTCGGGGCTATTAGTGGAGTAGACAAGAACGAATCCTTCAGGCGATGGCAAACTGCAAGGCTTCTATTTCGGGCAACTGAGCGTGAGGCTGTCGACTAGAGTGGTATTCATTGCCGTCCCGATCACTCACTTCTAATCAGCGATTATTGACTCTTGTGGTGATGTTCTATGGCTTGTGGTCGAAACCAGTGGCCCTCCAGTCCCAACTTCCAGAGATCGCTGCTTTGGTGTGATCATCATGGCCGGCGAAAGACCCGACATAATAGTAGCCATCGATTTGGGAACAACTTACACAGGCAAGCTTACGTCCCCTCCCTTTAGTCAAAGAAGTACCTTGTACTGACGTCAGTCAAAGGCGTGGCATGGGCACGACCTCAGCGCAATCAAGTCTTACAAAGCCCGATCCAGGTCATCCACAACTGGCCGGGTGGCTCGAGTAAGAATGAGCAAAAAGTGCATACTTGCTTGACCTACAACGATGACAACACCCTATCTTCCTGGGGCTACCTATGTGAAGAAGATGATCCGTTGAAGAAGAAGCGAGAGTTCTTCAAGATCTTCCTCGACAAGCAGACCCTGGAGGATGCTCATCGACAGGGCATAAGCCAAGCACCACCCTCTATCCTGGTTGCGCAGACTCTCGTCACGGATTACCTGCGTGAGATATACAAGCATGTTAAGTCGACGGTTGAGCTGCACACTGGTATCAACCAGACCGGGTGGCAGGGACTTGTCGTCCAGTTCGTGTTCAGCGTACCGACGACATGGCGCACTCACCAGATCATCAACCTCTTCAAGGCGTGTATCGAAGAGGCTGGCTTTGGCACAGAGGGCCAGAATCATTCTGCGACGGTCGAGTTGACCGAGTCAGAGGCTGCGGCAGTCGGCACCATCAAGAGCTCAACCGTCGCCTTTCAGTCAGGGGACGTCTTCCTCTCGGTTGATGCAGGCGGTGGAACGACAGACTTCGCGTTGATGCAGGTGGTCGAGGCAAGGGAACCGTTTCCGACGCTGGCTCAGATCAACCAGGTCGACGGCATCGGGATCGGCTCCACGCTAATCGACCAGGCATGCGTCTCCTTCGTAAACAGCCGCCTCAGCCAGTTTCCGGAGCTGGTGCACCAGCTTCCTCCAGACTGCGCCGAGCGACTCGTCAAGAGCGAAAGATTCAGGACGGTGAAGCACAAGTTTGGAGAGAAGGTGTACGCGAATAATGCTTATAAGCTGGTGCTCGACGGTGTGCCGTTCAACTTAAACCACCCAGCAGCAGGCATTGAGCTGGGCAGAATAGTCGTATCCTGGTGTGTGCATGACCTTCTGTTCTGTACGAGCGCCCATCTGACATCTCGAATAGGGAAGAAATGCAGTCACTGTTTGATCCTCACATTGAGAGCATCATGCGAAAAATACAGGAACAGCTCGACTGGATGCAGATGAACAATATTGACCGACCAATCGTAGGTTCAACAGTCGATTTTCCAACTTCTCTGTGTGCCTATTGACGTGTCCACAGAGCTATATGATCCTCTCGGGTGGGCTAGGGAGCTCGAAATATGTTCGCGACCGCCTTCAACACGAGATGATGATACACCCCCACCCATATACACATCAAGTCAAGATCATCCAAGCACCAGATCCGCAGCTAGTCGTGGTCAAGGGCTTGTTACTAGATCGACTGCAGAGCCTCGACTCGGGACTCGCTCCCGTGATCGTTAGTAGGGTTGCCAGAGCCAGCTACGGGTTGATCTGCAAGGCCAGGTACAACCCAGCGATCCACTTCAACGAGAACGTGAAGAAGGACCCCTTTGATGGCGAGCTCTACGCCATGGGCCAGATCGATTGGCTGATCAGGAAGGTATGATTTCTGGCCCGCTGTGCTGACTTGCGCTGACTGACTGATGTGAAAAGGGGGATCCCATCAGCACCAACACACCAATTGTCTCCGCATTCACCAAGAAGGTCGACCCTAGGGACTCTGACCGCACTTGGGACTCAATCATCATGATATCAGACTTGGATCGCGACTTTCTACCACATAATGTAGACCAAGGTGAGACAATCCATGGATAGCCATGTGTTATTCACATTGACACCCTGTCTAGAAGGGGCCAAGCAGCTCTGCGTGGTCAAGAGCGACCTCACGGGTGTGCAACACAGCGAAATGATAATGAAGCGCAAAGCAAGGCGGCTGATATTTAGGGGAAAGAAGTTCTACTTATGCTCGTTCGAGGTCCGAGCCATTGTAGCTCCGGCAGACATCAGGTTCGAGCTGTGGTTCGCAGGGCAGCGGTTCTCGGGGAACCATGATCCGATCAAGATAACGTGGGACGCCGAGGGATCCAAGGTAGGGAGTAGTTGAGCATAGGAATATTCAGTCCGGTTAAGAATCATCCGATTAACAATTATCTTCCTCCTCTCTGAGACTTCGTCATATGTTCTGTTCAAGGTGACCAGTCACTCGCAGCTCTTCCCCCGGAACCATCTGCAGTGACCCGATCGGGGGAGCTTCTGTTTACAGCGCCATGCGTCCGGCACGAGAAGCAAGGCGTCCCAACCGGATGACCCGAGGTCTAGAAGCCTGAAGATCAATGCTGCCTCGAGGTGTGACACCAGTGAATATGTTGCTAAAAACATTCCTCGGAACCCCTGTCCATGCAGCTGCCTTTCCCAGAACCAACTACATATTCGAACGCCATCTCATGTACCATCTTGCTGCGAGACGAGAACAACTTCCCTCTTGGGAAACGATAATGCTTGCCACCAGATGCAAGCCTTGGGCCTTCCAGCAAGGGGAACCTTGGCCGTGTCGGTGTGCTTGCAGACTAGGTGGAGATAACAGGGCGAACCCAGCCGTGTCCATTGTCAAATCAAGAACGAGTAGCACTCACCAACGCTCAACTTAAAGTCCCTCCCTTCCATTGCAATCAGGCGTAGCCTTTTCGTCCTACCCCGTGCCTGTTCCTCCCAAACCTCACCGCCAATATGACCTACGACCCCATCGCCTACTTCGGGCTCAACTGCCCCACGGGCGGCGAAATCTACATCTGCGAGTCAAGCGCAGTGCGCTTCATCGGCTGCTGCGACACCGACCCGTGCGGCTCTCTGAACGGGACCTGTCCCTCCTCGGACCTACATCCGGCCGGCTTCAACGGCACGCTGTGGTATCAGATCCCGGCGCAGGCCTGCGACGCCGCGGCGTTTGCGGGTCCGAACTGGTACACTTGCGCCACCGCGCCAACGTTCTTGGGATGCTGCGTTTCGAACCCGTGTGCGGCGGGCAGCGTTTGTCCGGAGGCGGATCTGGTTGCCGCTGCGCTTAGTAAAGACAATGCGACGGCTGCTGCCTTGTTCGAGTCCTATCCGTCTTCGGACTCGAGTTCTAGTTCGAGTACGGCGTCGACTTCGATGTCTAGTACCGTATCGCCTGCGTCGACTTCGAGTCTGCAGACGAGCAGCCAGACATCGAGTCCAGCCCTGACTGCCGCTGGCGTCCAAGAACCAGCGTCAACGCCTAAAGGGAGCAGCGGTGTCTCGATTGGAGGAGTTGTAGGCGGTGTCGTCGGGGGTGTGGTCGTCCTCGCCATCATTGCCTTTATATTCTTCAGACATCGAAGGCAGCGCAAAGTTGACGCAAGCCGACCTACCCACACGGACCAGATGACTCAGTCGCAGCCGCCATGGAGTCCATACCAAGGTCAGTCTCCCCCCCCCCCCCCCCCCCCCCTTACCCCCCTATTCCACACCAGGATCCAGTCTGGTCGGACTAACAGTTCTCGCAGATACCTTCCAGAGCAGCCGACAATCGTCTCACCCGGCTCTCCTCCCCTTCTTGACCTCATCGACGCGCCACAAGACCATAGCAGAGTCCATCATGAGCCCCTGGACCTCTATCAGGAGCTCGATCGCGAAGAGCCCTACGAGTCGCGCCTCGTCAGTCCAGCAGGACATCGACTATGACTGGGTGCGAGGGCAGCAGCAGCCGGGTCTTAACATTATATCAGAGCTGGATGGCACGCCTGGGGAGGGTGGGCATAGGCTTGGGAGCCCGACTCCAGGGTCCGTATATCATGAGGTGGATGGCTCGCAGCTGGGGCCGAGGGGGGCTTAGCTTGATAGTCTCGAAGTACGTCTGTTTTCAGGGAACACGTTCAAGGGGCTGGGTATAATGATAATACTATTCGTCTGTGGACGTAGAGACGGGGATTTCAGCTAGAGAGGGTTGACTCAAGGTGATGATGAATGGACATCATTCCAAGATCATCCACATATATACAACTCCACCTTCATGTGCCAGCCTCAGCTACGATACACTCCACACCTCAAAACGCCGGTCTGTTCAAGAACATCTCACTGAGCTTGTCCCTCATACGAGGCGGGTCGTTCGCAGCACTGCTCCTTCGTCGCACTGGGTGGTCGACTTTGTTCGTGGCAAGACAGTCGCCGCTCGACGGGTGACGGGTGGTGCCGTACCGGTTGGTGCGGCCTTGCGATTGTTGCTCACTTAGTACTTGGTTTATGGGAAAGAGGACGGGCTGGGTCTGGTGCTTACAGTAGAAGTCGCCCCGTCCGGCGTCGTCGATAACGGCTTGGTACTTCTCCTTGGCTGCTGCGTTGGAGGACTTGGGCATTCTCACCTAGCGTGTGTGCGTGTGCGCGTGTGGTTGGTGTGATATGGTCTTTGAGACTTGATAGATTCTCAGTATCGTTCTGATAGAGACTGCAAATGATATATAAGACCATTGGGAATCAAACATGAGACGCAAGTTCAGGTACTCGTTGATATATAGGGTGTCTGCTCCCCCGGGTTTCCTCTCTAGTGTTGACCCCTCCCGATGAGCTCAGATGGCACGCGGTTGAAACCTTCATGGAGGGGATCGACAGTTGCTTCATATGGCCCCAAACCCAATTGGCTGCAAATTCGTGGCATTTTAGAAATGATGGAGCTTTATCAGGGTTCACCTGACGGTACGCGTGGGATCGAGAGATTGCATTCTGTGTGTGGTGATGGCCGAGCAGTCCCCCGACTCGAACGAAGGTTTCCTTAGTGCTGTGCTGTGACGAATGAGCCAAAGGCGCCATCGATTATGCGGGACCGATATCTTACACCCTTAGCGACTGGGTACGGGATGATCGCCTCTTCGTTCCGCCTAGGTTGGGGGTGTGCTGCTGGCGAAATGATACCAGTACTTCGTCGAGCTGACAGATTCAATACTCCTTGACTCACCGCACTGAAGAGATCGAAACGGATGACTTCTCCGCTACAGGTCACTGTGTTCTGTCGATAATCGTATTCTCGTATGTCAGTAGCTTCATCGACGGGTGCACTTGAATATTAACTCGCGAATTATGCGCACTAAGTTACATAAATCGCCTGCATTTTTCCGTTCGCATCGAGGTTCAGGTATCATTACAATCATTACCGGAACACACGCACGCCCTCTTCCTTCCCAAAATTCCTTCCCAAAGCTCCTTCTCAAAGCCCCGTCTAGAGTCCTTCACCGACATGTAAAATCATCGTTACAAGCAATGGAAGGGTAACTGCAATGTAGACCGAGACTGAACCTTCCCATGGCTAAAAGGGTCTTCTAATGAACATACTACCGCAGTGAGTATCAGTCCGACGATCATCAACACCCACGTAGACTCCCCCTTTCTCTCGCTAGCCCCTTTCCCCCACGATAACCTGATATGGACACTCAGATCTTAAGCTGTAGATTCAGCCCATCGTCGCTGGTGTGTTCTTGATGCCGTGGCCAAATGAAAGAGGTAAAGCCAGATTCAAGTCTTCGGGGAGATGTAGACTTCGAAGGTCGCGCATCCTTTCCAGTAACGGCCGCAATTTTTGAAGATGGTAGTCATTGGCGATACGCGGGTGATAAGGTTTGACCTTCTCGGAAGGAGAGCCGACATAGAGAAGGTGTAAGTTGGGACAACATCTCAATAGGCGTTCGAAGGCCTCGCTGGAGTCTAGGCCAATGTCGTGCAACCATAGTTCCTCCAATTGCATTGGTATCTCCCGATCCTGTTCACTGAGTTGTTGGAATTGCGGCACCATTTTAATAAGCTCAAGCCTGCGCAGGTTTGGGAATTCCAGAAGAGGTAGCGGCGGTGAATAATTTGGAGGTCCACTGATGCGCGTGAGTCTGAGGGTCGTGATATTGGGATAGGAAAACCGGCTAGAGGGTATTTCGGGGTCTTTATCGCTGACAATGCCCTCCAAGTGTGATCTTGTGACGAGATGGTAGCCTATATAAGACAAGTCGGGCTGTGAAAGTGCGACAAGAGCTGTATGAACGTTGCTCGCTAGAGACATAATGATACCAGCGACAGCTGTCAAGTCGCGTAGCTGGTACTCGCGTATCTGGTCATTGTTGCTAGCATGGATGTCTCCAAGGGTAGGGTCACTTGGCTTGCTAAAGTCCGTAATAGCATATATCCCGTCTATGCTCTGCAGAGTCTGTGCCTTTTCATGGCATAACGCTTCGGGGTGTTTTCCATCGACCCTCTCAGGCTGTGGTAAAGGGGCCCTAGTACCGTCAGGCGTGGGACAGGAGGAGCCACCTTCCGGCCAGGTTAAACCAGACAGTGCCAGCATGACTGAAGTCTGGAGTGGCAGAGACTTCAAGTCGACGGTGGCTTGGAAGCCGAATCTCCAAGTCTCTGTCGCGCCTTTGATCATAGTTTCGTCGTAGAGAGAATATGTGAACGAGACCTGTGTTGCGAGCAAGGCGATTGAAGGGTTCTCTACAAACGTGCGCAAGAGAAGAACCATGGATGAGCCGGTGCGGATGGTGATGTCCCGGTACAGCAGTGGGACAAGCAGTCGGTGCAGAAATCGGTTGGCTAAGCAGAGAGTACGGAGTCCAGTTACGCGGCGCCTCGTTTCCACGTCATCCTCTGCTCTCAATCCAACGATGGCGCACATGGTATGAGGTCTTGAAAGACGATGTCGAGTAGCTCATTCGGTAGAGCGAGTAATGGAAAGCGCCGCGGCTGCACTTTGCTGTTCGCGGGCTTCATGGTGGCGTTTCTCGACAGTGTTTCTTGTGTAGGAGGTGAAGTCTCAAGCAGGACGTAGAGCAGGTGTTGACATTGAGTTGACTATTGAGGACCTGGAGGCTGGAACCTAAATACCTAAAGTACTTGTGGTGGACTATAGTCACTGAGGTCGGCTGTCGGTCATTTTCACGCAAGAACGAGGGCCCCCGTAGTCACTCTTATAGTGAATGCAACAGTCACCAACCAACACATGATCATGCATGCATGTGAGGCCAGATTCGGTTGATATAGACAGTGTGATATCGTATAATTACTGTACGAATTACTGTGCTCCTCTTACACTAGACCTGACATAGCTTAGCCTACCCCAGTAGATCGGCGGCTAGCACGGGTCACTCCTTCCTATCTTGGCTGTGGATCAAGAGGCTGGCCCCACTCCCGACCCTTTTCCGTGGCAACCAGCATCCAACTGGAATCCGTCTCCATCCATTGAGCCACCATCCCGTATTCATCGCCAGTTTTACATCCGGCCATCTGGCAGAGCAACGAGAAGCCCACTGCCCTGCTTGCTGATGCCATAGTACCGTCCAAGGGTTAATAGTCATTCGTTCGCATCAGATTTAATACTACTATTCACTAATACCACACCAACCGCATTCAACACCACTTCCACCATCAATCACTCTTCCGTGCTACTCTCGCTTTCTGTCACAGCCTCGCTGCGCCGCGGTCTCGTCGAACACCAATCCCGCGCCACGAGCACCCATCACGTACCACCGTTGTCGCATCGTTCGCTTCCGACACCTACCTTCTCTCTGACCCGTCCCATTGCGCCCGTCCACTCGACATCTACAGAGGTTGGGGCGACAAGATGGGGGGCTTCGGGGACTTCACAGACATCTGCCACACGGCACCGTTGCCGCTATGTCCCTCTGTCGGTCCCATCACATCGATATCCAGCGGCGTCGGTATCGAGACCGACTGCTTCGCCCGCAACATCGAGCTGGCAAACACCATCATATTCCAGGGCGCATCGAGTTTCATGCACATCATCGCGCTAGTCATGACTGTCGTTATGATTCTACACATCCGGGGGAAGTTCACTGCCGTCGGTATGTTTCTGCCAGCCATAGACCGTTACTTGCAGGGGCGGAATATCGAGGCTAACACGAGTTGCATTCAACAGGGCGAAAGGAGATTCTCGCCTTCTTCTACTTCTACATGCTCCTGACATTCTTCTCCCTCATCGTCGACGCCGGTGTCGTCCCTCCAGGGTCTGATCCGTACCCCTACTTCGTCGCGGTACAGTCTGGCTTTACATCAGCCCTCGTTACCTGCTTGCTTATCAATGGGTTCGTCGGTTTCCAACTCTACGAAGATGGCACGCCGCTGTCGGTATGGATGCTGCGGCTGTGCTCGTTCGTCGCCTTCGTCATCGCGTTCCTCGTCTCGCTGGGCACCTTCAAGTCCTGGGCTGGAATGGGGCCGACCAACACTGTGGGGCTGTTTGCTGTGCTTTACCTCCTGAATGGTGTGCAACTTGTGATATACATCGCATTGCAGGTCCTGCTGGTAGTGCGGACACTCGAAGATCGGTGGCCATTGGGGGACATAGCGTTTGGCGTCTTCTTCTTCGTCGTGGGTCAAGTCATTCTGTACGCACTGAGTGGTACAATTTGCAACAAGACCAGCCACTACATTGATGGCCTGTTCTTTGCCACTATATGCAACTTGCTTGCCGTCATGATGGTTTACAAGGTACCTTCTATCCGCTCAATCAACCCCTGCTGGGACACTTCTGACACTTCGACTCTAGTACTGGGATTCCATTACGAAAGAGGACCTCGAATTCTCGGTCGGCACGCGGATGAACAACTGGGAAGTCAAGGAGCTTCTACCCGAGGACGAGCGACGCGCCAGTGTCTATGCCGATGATTCCTATGGGAACTCCGCCTCATACGACCAATCTTACTCTGCAGGGCACCGTATGTCGTCCCGCTACTAGATGTCCGGCGTCAGCCGCTCCCGAGACTTGGAAGCCGGAGATCGTATGCATGCAGGTATTAGGGGGTTGGGAGCATTGGCAAGGCGTTATAGGGTCGAGCGGCCAAGGGATCTTGAATTGGGGTAGAGAATCATTCGAATATCAGCCTATTGGCAGCAACAGGGACAGCCTTGAATGCTAGTCGCTTGATTTGGGGTTTACACTAGTATCTTTAGCTACCCAGCGTTTTTGATGGTTACAGAGACGTATTAGTCGTGTATATAGTCTAATATATCATGTTCGTCATGAGACTCGGCGAGCATGTGGTGTCTTAGTACGCCCAACTGGAGCTGACGATCACACCTTTGCCCTGATTGTATGCTCATGGTGTCCATCGCCACAGTGTAAGCGGATACATAGCGACCATGCCGCACGAATCCTTTGCCAGTTATGAGCCGGCCCAGGCTACCTGTACTCCCGGAAGAGCTTGGCTGTTCAACCGTCCGAGCAGGGTCGAAGCAGCCACCATGGTGCTCGCAGGTACAGGAGGCTTTGGCGCCAGATCCGGCAACGTAGGCCGTTCCAAATTGCTCTGCTGCACCCACAACTACTATTCCAGGTCGAAATGTAGTGAGCCGGTTCTCGACGCTGGACGAGCGCTTTCCTTGCGAGCTGGAGCTGCTCAGTCTCGTTGATATTGAGTGGCAAGGCAATACGTCGGTGCGTCACACGCCTTCGCCTCCAACCTGCCTTCAGCAAGCTTCCGAAGAGGGTGACTACGGCATTGATGGGCCATGTCACTTCGACGGTGGCCTCGTAGCGACTTTACCAAGGACATATTGAGTCCATGCGTTCAGTCGGCTCAATCGGCATCGTCGTCGCCGAAGCTTAGCTTGATCTTCTTGGCCTTCTTCTTAGCCGGCGCCGTCTTCGTCGCCTTGGTTCCGTTGCCATTGCCGTTGCCATTGCCGTTGCCATTGCCATTGCCAGCTGGGGTAGTCTTCGCATCAAATGTCGTCTTCTTGCCCTTGCTGTTGTCGCCCTTGACATTGAGCAGGCGCCGCGCATCCGCTGTTGCCTTCTCAATGCGCCGGGTATCGTCGTCGTCATCGTCGCCGTCTCCGTCACCGCCGATGACCTTGCCGACTTTGCGCTTGCGGTTCGCGCCTATGGCTGCTACCTTTTCTTTCTCTTTCTCCTGCTTCGTCTCCGCATCCGCACCACCTTCTCCCTCTCCCTCTTTCCCACCACCACCACCTCCTACCCTCCCTCCCTCTTCATTGCCGTCCTCGTTATCGTCCTCAAACCCCTTCAAACCCCCCACAACAACATTCCCCGCCTCATCAACGACCACCGGCCCGTCCTCGGCCTCCTCGCTGGCGCTGCGCACGTGGCGACCCGTCGGTCGGCGGCGCGCTACTAGGATCGGGTCCGGGCCGCCGTCGGAGGAGGAGGCGCGGTGCCCGTGCAGGCGCGCGAGGAAGGGCGGGAGCTCGGTGTTGTAGGAGAGGTTTTTGGGGGTGATTTTGGGGTTGGACATTTTTCTTCACGGGGCGGGGCGGGGAGACGGTCGGTTGGGTGGTTGGTTGGTTGGTTGGTGGTTTGTTGAGCTTGTGTCGTGCTTGCTCGTGGTTTAGCCCGGGGTTGACACACGCGCCGAAGTGGTGGACGTGAGAGTTGTGGTCGCGCTGCGTGGTGTGGCGTGGTTTGGTTTGCGCAGGTGTTGCGATTCGCAGTGGGACGAAGCTCGAGCTGGAGCTTGTCTGTGGAGGTGGAGCCGAGCTTGCGGCTTGCGGATCCCTGCGATGCGGCTCAAATATTAAATTGATGTCAGCTCCCCCCTTTCAATTCTCGTCACTCGTGATACAATCAGGACTTTCCTTTCCGAAGACAAACATTGAAGGGCCAGCCGGCAGCTATGGTTCTCGAGCGGTCTGTATGACACACGAATGCTTTGCCCCGGCTCGTGGAATTTGCAAGAGGGCCTGGAGAGGTACTGTACGTACTGTCTGGTACTCGATGCATGGTTCCCCCTTATCCTTTCAGTAGTCACATACTCTTGCTTCGATGTCTTGTTGCATGGCTGCCTACCTGACTAGGTGTTCGCGAGGTGTATTTCCCAAGCAAGCATCTCCATCGGTCGACTCCTGTTCATCATGCTCGACATGCCGGGGACGACAATGAGCAGCCTGATAGCGATGCTTGAACTCTGCAGCACACGTGCAGTTGTGGGATAACAAGGACCAAATCCTACCTCACTAGATCAAACCCGAGCTTGTTGTCACCGGGTTGAAGGGGGAGGCTGACCCCTGGATGGTCACACTATACTGTAACACAGGCGGTCTTGGACGAATTGGCGACATTAGGCCGAAAAGAGGGGTTTACGGTATCATTGAGGGCACATATAGGGTCTACGGAATGCCCACATCAAAGGGAGGTCAGATTTCAACTGTATTCTACTCTATCCCGTACTGTACGATACCTAATTGACTGCTTCTCTCACTCTGTGGCCCAAGCCTTGACACCACCTGCGGAAGCGTGTCCACCTCTCCATCAAGGCATCATGTGCACATATCAATTCACTTGCCGCACTGCTGTCACAGACACCTTTCTTGCCACTACGACGACTCAAGACCTGCTGTCGACCAGCCCAGACAAGCATCCGGCCTCGACGAGAGAGCGAAGCGCGTCATGGAGCAAAAGCCGCCTACGCAATTTGTCGACACGTCTGAGACCGTGAGGGCTCTAATAGATGTTTTGTCCACCGTTGAAGCAGAGTCTGGGTGTATTCACCTGGACTTGGAAGGGGTGGCTCTGTCTCCCCATGGGTCGATATCCATCATACAAGCCTGGATCCCCACGCTCGAGCAGGCTTTCATTGTCGATGTTCACACCCTGGGCGCGCAAGTGTTCGCCATCGCCAGATAGCGAAGGGAAGGCCTTACAAATTCTCTTCGAATCAGACAGACTCACAAAGTACTTATTTTCGACGTTCGGAACGACGCCGATGCGCTCTTCAAGGCCGGACTGGCAGGTATCATGGACATACAGCTCCTGGAACTGGCTTCTAGGAAGGGCTCGAGGGACCAGATATGCGGACTAGCCGCGTGTCTGAAGCAGGAGAAGGTGCTGCCAAGACTCGACCAAGACGAGTGGCAGAGCAGAAAGACGAAAGTCACGCAGATGTTCGATCCCAGGCTTGGCGGCTCGTACGCAGTGTGGAATGTTCGTCCCCTGCCGCAGATTCTCACCGGCTATGGTGTTGCAGATGTACAATTGCTACCCGCCCTCCCGGTACGTACGAAAAGCGCCCCGACGATGAGTGGCTGGAAATGGTTCGCGCGGAATTCGAAAAGAGATCGGTAGAGTCGAGGAATCTGGCCTACAGACCACAGGGTATGCACAAGGCATCTGGTCCGAGCAGCTGGAGACCGTTGCCCATGAAATGGTGACTGTCCCATTCACATGCGAGCTAAGCTCCAAGGGGAGGTTTAAGGCTCTGGCTCGAGAGTCGAGCCACCGGACAGGGCTTCTGCATGTACTCTTTTCGTGGGTTCGTCGTGGCGGACTTGGAAGACCGGAGGAGAGAGAAGAGAGAAGAGCGGAAAGGAGATGGAAAACATTTGGCGACCAAGGTAATGAAAACTTTGGGGCATTGTGCGCCTGTGGATAAGCGCTTCAGAATAAGCAGTAATAACGGCTTAATAGGTAATAGCTGCTCATAGGAGAGGAATTCATCAACGTGCGTAGGTGTAAGGGGTGATTGTAACCCCTATACTATCCACCGTTTACCTATCGACTATAAATTCTATGGATTTGGTTCTGGTTTTAATTCCATGCAGTACATACCTACATAACCAACCCCCCTCAGCGGCCTGGAAACACATGAAAGCATGGTAAAGAGGATTTTTAGCAAATAGAACACAGCGCTGCCAGGACATTCTTTCACGTCAATTCAGGGTCAGGATCGCTTCACCATCACGATGATCTCATACTGGGCCGCGTTATCACAGCTCACAAACAGCCTCTATCCTGCACCATGCCAGCCTAGGCCCGCCAAGCTCCAATCGTCGTCAGCGAAGATGAGTTACAATACCCTAGGGGACTTACGCTGACATGATGGTCTTGTAGCCCGTCTGAGAATCGGCCGCGGCAACGTAGTCGAACGTGCCGTCCGCATCTGCGTGCACGGCACCTCGGCCACGAAGTAGCCCGCCACCGGCTGGCGGTCCCAGCTGCCGTGGAAGGTGATGCAGAGGTTCTTACCCACTGGGTCGAACTGGGGTATGACAAGACCACGAGGGAATGGAGCCAACGGGATGCCGAAGATAGAATCCCAGGCGCGGTCCCCTCAGTCACACCAATAAACTATATTCGACGGACTTCGCTTAATACGTCTGAGACCAGGCCCGGTTACGTGAATGCGTTGGACCGACCTCCAAGCATCGACGGCGGTGTTGTTATGGCTTCTCCTGCGGGTGGCAAACCTGTAAGTTCGAGCAGGCGGTTATTCCCAATCCATTTACAAGTTTTTTTTCATTCCTAGCATTCGCACCTAGACGAAATTCCTAGTTGTAAGAAAGGATATGGGGTACTAGCTGGTGCCGTCAGCTGGCAGATCTGGCGCTGAGAGGTCCATACAGAACCTCGTACGAATTTGCGACTGCTTTGTGATGAAATAGACCTCAGCGATCACCTGGTGAGACATGTGAAGTAGACATCGTTCAGGTTGTCCCGTCGCTTTTATAGAAACACGTTCCTGGTCTCTCAGCTCGTACAGAACAAGGGAAAGAAAGCCTCATGGGATCTATTCTTGGCGGTCGCGTCTAGCACGTCTCGATTCAATTGAGTTTCCGGCTCATTGTGCACTACGAGGTGCACGGGCCAACATCCGGTTACGAGGATTGAGTGGGCTCGAGTCAGCTCCACTTCTCAAGCCCCTTTTGGGGTTGATCCCCTGTCCCCCTTTTCTCGCACAGCTGGTGTTTACAGGGGTTGTGTGGCTTGTCTAGTGGCTACAGCGATCGTAAAAGTGGAGAACAGCGAGCCACAGGCAGTTCCAGGCTTCCAGCCCCTGAAACGTCTGAACTTTGATGTTGCATGTACTCTGCAGCCACAATCCGGCTGTGAGGTACATGATGTGGCCGGTGCAGTTAATGCTCCCGTCCCGTCTTATCGCCTCAATGTCAAAAATCTTGTTGGCTCAAGCTTACTGCAGCACACCATCCATTTTCCTCCAGCTCAGCCCGCCATCTCATCAAATCCTCCAGGGGCCTTCCATCCTGCCATCCCATCCCTCCTCTCCATCCAAACCTCTGAACCTTACGACGCGCACGAGAATCACAGGCATTGTGGACATTCGCCTACGACGCCTTCACAGTCCCCGATGCAGCTGTTCGCGATCTAGCAGATCGTCACACTTCGGGACTTTGCTGGAGGCTGATACAGGCTGCCGAGACGCACTGACGTGTACCGGAACGCACACCGTCGCCTCCTTTTCCGACGCCTAGCTCCCTGATCCATCCATCACCACTTCAACACCCGAGGCCGCTTCGACCCCCAAGGGACTTGATTCCCCTTGTCGCTCGTTAGTCCTCTCCTGTGGCTGCGCTACATCGACCCGACCGCAGGTCCGCCCAAGGAAGAAATTCACAGTCAGGCAAGAGGGAAACGGAGTCGTTTGTCGTTACTTCCTGGTCGATTGGGACAGGAGCATCGTCTATTCTTCCTCTTCCTATTGACTGCCCTGACTCGACGCGACCTAGGCCCTTCTAATCATCAGACTGGCTCTATTTCGCTGCCTACGTTCTATGCCTATGCGACTCGAGCATACCTTGATCGTCGCAAGAACAACAGCATCGACAGCTGAGCATCGCCTAGCAACGACCTAGATCCTCGCGCGCACACACACCTCCCAACCGAGACCGACGATCTGGCCCTATAGCCGACTCCTACATCTCGTATTGGGGGGAAGCCCGCCCTGATTCGCCATCATGGATCTCTTTCGGCGCGCGTATAAGCGCGTGCCATCGTCCACGGCCGTTCCTCAACTCCCAACCTCAGACGAGAAAAGAGCAGCACGGCCTAAGCGGCTGACTTCTAGCATCGACTTCTTCCGGAGACCACTGAGGTTAAGGGGCAACTCTAGCATATCTGTTCCCTTGGGCGTTGTTGTGCTCTTCCCATGTATTGTCGTCATCCTCATCCTCGTCTTGTTTGTGAAACATCCAAGCTCCCCAGGCATGATTTTGATGCCTGCCGGGGCCCCTCCAGCCATACGGTACGTACCTGGTCGACAAGATGGTCTTCTCCAATTCTAATTAACCATATTTGCGCCGACAGGAAAATCAGCGAAGAGCATGACAAGGTCTTTGTGACTGGTTGCGAGGAAAATATAGACACCTCGCAACCCCGGGCCAACGCGGCTTTCGTCGTCCTCGCGCGGAATAAGGAACTCGAGGGTGTCATCCAGTCCGTCAAGTCTATCGAACGTCACTTCAACAGGTGGTACCATTACCCGTATGTTTTCTTGAACGACGGAGACTTCAACCAGACCTTCAAAGACGTCATTCGCAACTACACTTCAGGCCCTGTCGAGTTTGGTAGAGTTGGTCCAGAGATGTGGGGATACCCCGAGTGGATCGACCCCAAGATCGCGAAGGAGGGTATCGCCAAGCAGGGCGACGCCGCCGTCATGTACGGTGGACTCGAGAGTTATCATTCGATGTGCCGGTTCTACTCTGGGTAAGCAAGCAGCGCACACTTGCTGGTTGCAGTCTGCTGACGAACGGCCAGATTCTTCTACAAGCACCCCCTTCTCGCCAAATACGAATGGTACTGGCGGTTGGAGCCAGAGATCAAGTACTTCTGCGACATTACCTAGTATGTATCGCCACCTTATTGCCTCTGTCGCGATGCTAACATACCTTTAGTGACCCCTTCCTCAAGATGATTGAGCACAACAAGACCTATGGTTTCACAATCGCTGTCAAGGAACTTCGAGAAACCGTCCCTAATATCTTCCGATACGCATCTGCCTACAAGAGAGTCAACAACATCACTTCTCAGGGTCTTTGGGAGATGTTCGTAGATCCCATCGAGAAGCCTGCGCCTGCGGAAGACACTAGCCAAAAGCCCCCATTGCCTGAGGAAATCTTGCGCAGTGATCCTAAAAGCTTGCCCGAGATCGACCCTGATGCCATGGAAGGCGAGAGCTACAACATGTGTCATTTCTGGTCCAACTTCGAGATTGCCAGACTTAGCTGGTTCAGAAGCAAGGAATACGAAGACTTCTTTGAGATGATGGACCGCAGTGGTGGTTTCTGGATGGAACGAGTACGTGATCTTGACCTCCGTCTACTTCGCAACATGTTTGCTAACTACTTTTCTAGTGGGGTGACGCCCCTATCCATTCCCTCGCTGCGGGTGCCCTTTTGGCTCCCCGCGATATTCACTACTTCCGTGACTTTGGGTATCGACACACCACTATCCAGCATTGTCCTGCTAATGCCCCTGTCCGTCAATCACCTCGAGAACCCTACCTAGAGAAGACGACCCTTGATGAGAAGTTGCGAATCGAGGAAGATGAGTACTGGGAGAATTGGGATACCCCGAAAGAGAACGGCGTTGGATGCCGCTGCCGATGCGATACGGATATCGTAGATGTCGAAGGCAAGGAAGGTTCCTGCTTGGCCGAGTGGGTCGATGTCGCTGGTGGATGGGCGAGTCCGTAATTGGGCCTCAATCTCGGGACACCAATTTTAGCAGGACCGAGGCATCATCTGCGACCGACAGCTTGCTCCTCCTGGTGCTGCTCGCGAAGCTCTTCACATCGAGACGCTTTGACCGGCCTGTGCTGCATCGAAATCGATCGCTTAGCCAGTGCTCGCATCAGATGTCGAAACCATGTACCTCGTTGATTATTTTGGACATGACGGCGCTCAATTGGGAAGAATTGTGTTTGCGGGTAGTATGTTATTCGGTCCCTCACGATAGTGCGGTATTTGTATGAGATCAGGGGTTATGACATTGGTCGCGGGGATCGTCGGAGTATGGTCTGTTCCTATCGGTACTCTGTCTGGTAGATAGCCGGCAGCAGAGCTGAAGCATGTAGAAGAGTAAAAAGAGCCTCGGAGCCACGCCGGGCTTACACATATTTGGCTTTGATATCAATGGTACATAATTTCCACCGAGTCCTGATTCGCGATACGTTTTCGAAAGGGGTTGCGCGCTATAAAATTCATGTTAAGCTTAACTTTTCCAAGACGGTGTTTGTTGCTGTCCTTAGAGATGAAGAAGTGATGTCTCCCGGCCCTTCAACTCCAATACACGCATTGAGTCTTACACGTTGGCAATATCAGCAAACTATATATTCACTCTCTCCTGGCATGAGACCATTACACACGCACTCGCCGGATTCTCATCACATTCAGCACTCTATCCTTCCTCCCCTCCAGCAAGCCCTCCGCATAAGTTTACCCCTTATCCACTTCTTTACCTCGCCTTCACCTCACAATCCCTATCCAGCCCATCTGAATACCAACGATACCCAGCATTCCCCCCCCCAAAACAAACTCCGCCGAACCCTAACTCCCAATGTACTCTCATAGCTAGCTCACCCTGCGCTGGATTCACGCGTGGCAGGACTAGCGGTCTCCTTTGTGCCGCGCCGTCCAGACCCTACCCGCTCTCAACGCGGCTGCTCCAAGGGTGTTATGCATGCGTTCGTCCAGGAGGGGGTGGGGGGCTTCGTCGTGCTCGGGGCGCGCGAGGCGCCGAGCTGGGTCGGCGGGCGTACAGAGTGTGGATCATCGGACTCGGTCATGGTTGTAAGCCCGCCGGGAGACGTGGAGGGGCGTTTAGGGGGCAGTGTCAGAAGGTGTAGTAGTCGATACATATAGCCGGTGGATTATATTGGGTCAGGGTTCGTGTAGGTTGCGGCAGTGAGGTCGTGGCGCTTGGTAGGGAACTTTCATGAGGTCTTTGCTTTATATAAAAAACTCGATGATGTTGTTCTTTAGATCGGGTTTTAGATTGTTGTGGTTCTAATCATCTGATGGCTTTTTTCCAGCATTTCACTACCGAAAGAGTGTTCGTTTACTCAAGGTGATCTCATTATTCATTCAACATCTACATAAATTGGACAGCCTCAATTACAAAATTCCGGGGACCCCACGATACCCAAAATCTCTCCCTGCTTCCTTGTCCTGCATTACCCAAAGATCGACGTCTTCACCGTCTGAGATGCGTAATCTCCCATCGAAACCTTGACTATGACGTCTCCAATGGAAGACAGTCCAGTCGCAGACGCTGTGTAAAGCGTGTAAGCTCCAGCGGCGCCGCTCTCGGTCAGAGTGACCGTTTTCGTGGTGACTGTGTTGGCACGCGATCCTGTTTGGGATGTGGCGACGTAGAAGGTGGCCGTCATGGTATCACTATCAGTCGCGATGTTGGATAGGGCCTAGCAAAGCAATTAGTGGTGTCAGTGGCATAACTAAAGACTGAAAGCGAGCGCGAGCTGGAGTATGGATGGATGACCTACAGCAGCATAGAGGGTGACGGTGCCAGACCGCGTGTTCGTACTTGACTTGGCGGGCAGCACGAATATGTCGACGTTGATGGGGTAGGAGATGGCGCTGTTGATATTCAACGCGGTGGTACCCGGTGATTCGATGGTCGTGTTGAAATTATACCAGGCTGTGGTGCCGTAGAGAGATGATCCGGAACCGGCTGAGATGGACAGCACTGTTAGCAAGGCCGAAGGACAGGGTTTGCGTGTTGGAATTAGAACTTGCCTGATCCTGTCGTCTCCACGGCGGAAGAATTCGTGCCGTTTGCGGTGTAAGTATAGCTGACGCTACTTGCTGCGGACTCCGAGGCGCCATACAAATTCTGCAGCGGAAGTTCGCCGGTCAGTAAGGACCCTCGAGAAACGAATGATGGGTGCTCGACATACTCTGATCAAACCAGCTACAGATACAGAGCCGGAAGAGCTGATGTCCAGCCCGATATCGGTGGCCTTCCAGGGCATCGGCGTGATGGGGTCCGAGAGTACGACATCAGAAGGGACTGTGTCGATCATCTTTGCAAAAAGAGTGTTGCACTGTGTCTGGAAAGAGTCCTCTGATGCTGCGAGGCTATTTGGACAGTCAGTTCTCGAGGGGTTCCAAGGAGCAGGTCATAGGGGAGTCTCATGTACCTTTCAATAGTCGCGTTCTGGTCAGAATTGTACAGACGGAAGTCCGACCTCTGAGTCTCGTTCGTGGTAGTGACTAATGGCCCACCCTTCTCTCCTGTTTGGTCGAGATATTCCGTGACTACTGCAGAGTCAAAGACAGCTGGTGTACTGTCGAATTCTTGGCCACCGTCGGTGCTGGACCGTGGATGTCAGTATAATAGGTCTCGCCGTCTGTGGCATCGAACAACTTACTTGTCGGTGGTAACGTAGCTCTCGTCAACTGCGGTCTGTGAGTAACGCTTGCCAGATTGCTAACGGAGCCTATGGTCCTCACCGATGTCAGGGAAGTTCGTGTAGTGGGTTCGGCCAAGGGAATGACCACATGCCGTCAACGCGATTGCCTCGCTCTGGTCAAAGCCCGCCGCAGCGAATGATGAGAGAGTAGTGTCGATGTCCTGTCCTCAGTCAGTACAACAGGCTGTCGGTCAGATTTCATAAGGTCTTACAGTGCCAGGCTCCGGAACGCCTGACGGACCGGCAGCACTAGCATCGACTCTCCCCGTCCGGAGCGGGATGTCGGTGGTGGTTCCGCCACACGTGGCGACTGATGCAACCACGCCCTGGTTCATGGTTAACGTGACCTTAACCATACTGGTTTGCCGAAGATCTTAGCTTACCAACGCCAGCATATCAGCCATACTGACGTATGCGGAAACGTCCTATCAGTCTAAAGTTAACTCCCGTCCCATAGCCGTGTCCGTCAGCATCAAGTAATCTTACTGGATTGAACTACAATAGCGATTAGTATCCGTATGCATAGAACTAGGCGGATATGTGACTTACAAACCCAATAGTCTGGTTGATGAAGAGACCGGGATTTTCAGGACGATTAGACTCGAATCCAACCGAAGCATCGAGACCCCCGGTTCCAGCGGCGACATCTGCGGTAGCAATGTCGTGGAAAGCAATCCGCACCCACTGCGCCGAGCTCTGCTCCCCATCGGTGTCATCCCCGTTGATGTAGTTGCTGCAGGGCGTGATGGCGTTGACAAGGCCGTCTGAGTTGGTGCCTTTGTTGTCTACCAAGATGTGTTCCATCTCCTCGTAGATGTCTCTTGCTGAGATGCCATTGCGGTCAGCCGAGGCCGTAGGCAAGACGCTCCCGAGGAGCAACTTCAGCAGAAGCGTAGCAGCGATTGAGGAGTCCATGTTGTGCAGTGAACGAATGACTGTGAACGAACGAATGGTCTGGTATGCTTTTCACACAGAGAATAGAACAAGTCCTATCCTCTTGACTTTATATACGCTGTAGAGTCCATGGCGCTGCAGCCGCTTGGCAACGTGGATCTCGCCGCTCGGTTGTATAGCGAAATGGAGGTCTACGCTGCAATGAAGGATCTGGTGTTGAGTAGCAATGCGGCGCTGATTTCGATAAACATATGCACGTGCAAGGAACCTTTTGGGGCACAGTTACTACATATGAAGTGTACGCGCGGAGTGTGGATCCAAAGTTGGGGGATACGGATTGCTAGAGGATCCTCGAGAAGGGGTCTATGCGGAACATAATTAGCTCTCCGCCCGGAACCGTCAACCGCCCACTCCATGTGGAACAGTCCCGAGGTCTTGGCGTATGCGGTTATTGGAGGTGTCAAAGTGTCAAAGCCAGGGCCTACGATGGACATGCGTTCGTACGCGCTGTCGGACGAACCTACTATCCCCGGTGGAGAGAGATGCAACAGATCTTCTCGTCTGATGAGCTGCTCTCCACTGGGGCTCCAGACGACCAGACGGCCAGAGCGCTACCGTGCCATGCCACCTCGCATGGGTACACGTAAGCTTTCTCAACACCTGCAGACGAAGGTCCAGAGTCTGAGAGCACCTAGATCTTTGCCATATGTTGTTGGTATGCAGTTGGTATGCAATGGTAGGCGCGCGTTAATTAAATTTTTGGGCACCCTGCTGCAGGTGTTCCGGGTGATTCGGCTCGGAATTCTAGATAAGGGACCATCAACCCAACAAGACATGCAAGTGGGTTGACGGATTCATCTGCATGGAAGCCAGGCAAAATATAAATCCAAATCGCGGTATGTAGATCGCAAAGCAGGCAACGGGCCGAAGAACCATACCCAGCCCACGGTAACGTCGTATACATGTCAAGTGTGTGTCGTGCCAATTCGAGAACATGTAGAAGGATGATCCTCAATATCTAGATAGTGCATACTATGCGCTGTGACCAGGACAGAGATGCAGAGCCCGCATGATATGTCCCGTTGAGAAACGAGTCACACTCAAGACACATAATCGTTCGAGTGCCTTTGACGCTCATGACAGCGGAAGGCGCCTCTCGCCTATGTCTCGATGTTCCAGTTAACAAGAACCAAAAGAGACAGAGGTGGGTTAAGGCCGACTGGTACTCCATGATATTTAGAAGTCTCTCATGAACCCACGATGGCTCTCTCGCGCAATATCGCGGACTCTTCGGGCTGTGCTATTGCTACCATCTACCGCAACAATGATGGAGCCAGAGGCACTGCTGCCATCCTGGAAGACGAGAGACAGGACGCGGTTCGTATGCTTCTCGCCCGAGTACCTGTTCACCGAGTAAAGGATGTTGTGCTGCAGCTCGCGCCGATGTGGACTTCGGCCGCACGTTTGCCCCCACTTCACGTGCTCGCCAGGTCCTCGAAGGAGCGCCAGCCACATCTTTTCACGCGATACGCGCCACCGTTCATATGCAGATATGGCGGAATCTTGAACTTCACTGGGTCGCGTTACTGCAGGTGAGCAGTGAGCATATCCGCCTGTAGCATCTCGGGCATGTCAGCTGTGTGTCGAGCCGATCGTAATGGCCCAGCCGCCTTGGCCGCGCGCAGTAGGTGTGGCATCGCGCTCGAATATGCGGAAGGCGATGTTACGCTGCAGAGGTAATCAGGCACGAACTGTAGACGAAAATAGTTCGGAGAATGTACCTTCTTGAGAGCCTGGCCCGGTCAGCCCTGTGTAAGGCCGACGATGCCCGAACCCACGATAAGGACCGGGAACGAGGCCGGTGAAAGAGGTCCACCACGGAGTAAGTCGCTGTAAGTGGAGACTCGACGGACGCCGGGATCAACACAACGACGCTCTTCATCCGAGTCCCGACAGCATCCATTCATCACGTTCCGATCTCGGATGTGGCTTAGTCAGCATCATGAGTTGAATGATCCGAGTCGCTGCGGTGTAGCTGCGATGTTCCAACCATCCTGTCGATTGCTGCGCCGTCCATGACCCAATAGGGGCTATCCAACCCAGTCACTCTCGAGGGTCGCAGGAGAAATTATCAACACGGCGCAATGTTTCCCGGCTTCTAGGCTGGGCAAAGATGGCCTTGTCATCATTGCTATGGTGGGATGGGCCTACCAGTGGTATGAGTTCCAGATTTTATCTCTGAGCGGAACGTCGGGCATGACAGTACCCTGCGCATGCGCACTGCACTCGCAAAAATGCCTGCTGCGGGGACGAGTTAAAGCAGATTTTCGGTCAGGAGTTCGACCGTCGGACTGCTCTTTACGCATTGGCAACTCTCGTATTAACGGCCTATTAGTCAATGTATATCTCGCTCTGTGAGATGCTGGGCTGGTTGATCATCTCATGCCTCTTCATGCCGAGCAGACAGTCAGCAAGAGGGATACTAGATACTAGCTACCTAGATACTGATCCCTGGATGCTTAAGACGTACGTTGCCTCCCACAATTCAAAAACATACGACAACTTGTCTTGTCGAGACCCTGTGAAAGTTGGTCAGTGTTAGATTTCAGAAATGGTCCGTATTGGAAGATGAAGGATGGCCGATGGGGGTACCTTCCCACTATAACCGTGAAAGTGACTTCCAACGTTTATCTAATAAGGTGATACCACAGGATGACCAATATACTGGTCAGTGGCGTACCTAGCCTGAGCACATATTCTGAGAGTCTAACACCGCGAGGAGCGCAACTAGACTTAGCGCACAGCACGGGGGCTCTGCTTTTTGTTGTCTTTTGGGGTATTTGGGTTTGGCTCCTCCCTTCCGGTCGAAGAGCTTAAAAATAAAATAATGGTTAGCCCATAGAACTCTTACGTGGGTGAATACAACGTGCACCAAGGACTCAGTTGGCAGAAGGGGCATCCAGTTTTTATAAGGAAAGAAACGTCGTGTTAGGTGCTATGTGAAGCAGTAAACTCGTCAAAGCGTGCGGCGGCCGCTACGTGCTGGGAGGATTGATGGTCAAGGGACGACCTGTTGAAATCCGAAGCCTTCTACTACGATCATTTAAGCCGACAAGTAGTCCATGTTCCCTTAGTTCTAAGGCGTGCCATCAGGGTATGTGGGTCGGAAAGGTTGATACTTTGTGGCTTGGAGTCTCGGTTTAAGTTTATTCTCTCTCGCTTTTTCTTTTTCTATTCTTCTGCAACGGTGCCCCAAACCTGGCAAAGCATACAAAGAGGAGAAGAGAGCAAGAAGGTACACGTAAAAATAAAGATCGGTTCTATTTCCTGGGCCTCTCGACCATCATACTTCACCTCTCTCAATCCCGCCCTTCACCATTTCAGTCCAGCTGCCAGCCGATCCTCTCTTTGCGCACACATATACAACACACGACTGAACCTCTGTCTCGCCCTTGCCTACCATGGCGACGCCAACCTTACCCGGTCTCCCGATGGAGCTGAAGGAGGAGATTTGCCTCAACCTGTGTATACACTGCCAGCATCGGAAGTCGGATCCTTATCCATGCTTCAACACCGCCAGCTGTTTCAGCAATCAGAAGGCGCTGACTGCATTGTGTCACGTGAACAGGAACCTACGCGACATTGCACAACCCATTCCCTTTCACTACTACTCTGTCCAAAACATCCCGCCCACCAGACTGCCCATCAGACTCGGGGGATCTTGGCACTCAACACGCCACTGTAAACCCGACGTTACGCTCCCGAAATTCGTGCGCAGCATCTTCCATCGTCCTGACCTTGCCAGAAAGGCTCGCTGCCTTTCGCTATCGCCAAGCTGGGACCACCTCTTCGACTTCCATACAGACCCTGACCTCTGGCGCAACATATGCGAGCTCGTCCTCCAAATTAGACCGCCATACCCAAGCTCACGACAAGAGGTTGTTGCATGGCGAGAACCCGAACGCTCGGTATCGCGTATCGTTCTCGAATTGATACTGATCACCGCTTTGCCGTGATTGGAGTATCTCCTGTTTCACCAACTGAACAAGCTGCCCTACGGGCCGTTGCACTTCCTCAACCCGATCCCGAGCTTGAAAGTCGTATAACTCACTAGGCTGATGGGTTTGGACTATTATCTTGCTGACCAGAAGGAACTGTTCAAGCTGGCACCCAACCTCACAGTGTTAAATGGCTCATCGGGCGAATACGCGTTCCGGGGGTCATTGCAGCAAATGATCTCTCAGAGCTCGAGTATTCGTTGGACCGTCCACGACTTGGCCTTGGGCAACCTTCGAAAACTCAGCTTGAGCGACGTTCGAGATCGTCCCTTGGCTTCGGTCCTTCAACGATGTCCACAACTTGAGGATCTGGAGTTTCGCGATTATAACCGCTGGGCTAACTCCTGGTCGTCACAGCCAGTGCTCGGATGAATTCATATATCTGTGCTATATAAACAACGTTTATCTGAGCTTTATTCCTACCCATACGGTAAGTTATATGCTAATTAGTAATTATTTTGCTAATAGAGGTAGTCTCACATCTTCCAGCCCCTAGATTTGACCGTGTTCTTTGTGGTGAAAGCCGCCTACCGCCGCCTCATCAACCAGCTCGGTTAGTTGAACAATTCCGCTCCTATTGGCAAAGTACGGTTCCTCAGTTGCCTGGCTAAGGCCCGTGAAAAATCCACGGAGGCTATCGTGCGTTCGGGGTGGCGTGCTGCCGGTCTTTGGCCTATAAACCGACGAAAGACCCTCACGAACGAGCATATGATGAAGGCAGCAGAGATCCAAGCAGCAGCAGTTATTATAATGAACCCTGAAACCATATCTAAGGCATTAGAAGCCCCTAAATCAGGGCAGGAGATTGAGCTGATGCTATCAGCAATTGCTGAGACCTTTGAGCAGCGAGCAGGAGTCCGCTCGGTTGTAAAAGCGTACGGTGAGATGGCAATTGAGCTAGCCCTTATAAAGGAGCTATTGGAAGGAAAAAACGCCAAAATTAAGCATCTACAACCAAAAAAGCGTCGTAAGGCCCCTCAGAAAGAGCCTGAACAACGGCTATAACAAACTAGGGACGTTATTGCTAAGCAAATCGAGCATACAGAGACCGTACGAGCTGCTATAAAGGCACGGACAGAAAGACGACAAGTTCTGCGTGAAGTACAGAACTTAGATACTGACGAATCAGAGAGATCTCTCTTTGAGGAATCTGAGGAGTCATATTCAGAAGATTTAGAGGAATTGGAGCCCTATGAGGATGAAGGGGTTGCCGTTGACGAAGAGGGTGATGGCACGGATGAGGAGTCCGACGAGCCCATTTTGGTGCGATCTTCACGCCGCGCGATCCGCCAGCCAGCGCGCTATCGCATGAACAACTAATATTGCTAAAAACATCAAGAAAAGACGGTTTTAAGGCATTTATTATATAATTTATAGCTTCAGTACAGATGCAGTTATCTGGGGGTGCAAGTGTGGCCTTTTGGTGGGGAAGCTGTCCCAACTTGAGGGCTGTCCCAACTTCATGCCCCCACCGTTATATGATACCCTAGAGAATTATGAAAGAAATGAGGCATGACATGCCGGCGCATATCAGTCAGCCTACAGGCAGCAAGCGCACACCTGCTAAACGGAGAGTTAGTCTACGTTTGTTACAGAGACCTTCGTTCGTCTGAGTGATAGTCCCACAAAGTCAGCAGTCCATGGGAGAAGCCCGAAAGCTGTTGGCTTTCATCACATGTCCAGCTCGTGGTACCTTGTCCCTTGGCAGGTTAGCTGCATTCGACATACTTGAAGTGATCCAGGCGAATCTTAGTGGCCGATACGAGCAGCATGCCGAGAATGTCGAAGCAAGTGAGGAGGCCATCCGGGACCATCTGCAACAGATCTGCCAGCTATTGTCCACCATCCAACGCAGCGATGACGATGTCAGGTTACAAATACAAGAGGTACGCTGAACAGCGAATCTTGACGAGTTTCTAGGAAAGACCGAGTTGAGCCTGGACAGCACCTGGTCAGATGTGATCGGGCCATGGCATCTACAATATGTGGACAATATTATGCGTACACCGCCGATCCCCCACCCATCCACCCATCACCACCCTCATCTTCAATAATTCCTAATAAATCGAATATGAGGCCATTAAGAATGTGAATTAGATCAAAATGATTATTAATTTTTGCTCTTTAATATTTGGTGTAGTAACCCCTTGCGTAATACAATGCTGCGAGCCTATGCGGGATCGATTTTATTAGCCTCTCAATCAAGCGCTCATCCATCTCTGCCCACGCGCGCTCAATTATCTCTTTTGCGTATGCCCCATTGCTTAAATTGTCCTTTAGATCGTGAAATTGAGGCTTTACTTCGTTTATCTTGCGCTTTAGACCGTTCCAAACATGCTCGATCGGGTTCAAATTGGGCGAGTGAGGCGGCCACTCGATGATCCAGATATTGTGCTCCTTTAGCCATCTCTTATACACGTTCAAAGTGTAAATAGGGGCATTATTTTGTATATAAGGGTCTCTAAGCTCGTAAAAAGGCAGTAATCCTTTCTCCAAAGCTTTCAAATACAACTTGGTAGTCATTCTGCCGCAAGGAGAGTCCGGATCGTCTTCCATCATCACCAGCTTGCCCTTGCCACCTTTGCTGCTGCGTAGCCAGATCATACCCCAAATCATGATAGAGATTTTGGTCTTAACGTATTCCTGCGGGTTCATAAGGTCGTTTTAGTACCTTTTGGATAAGAGGCGGATGACCTAAGAGCTTGTAGAATCAGCCAAAGTCTTTATTATACCCTTGTCTGTATAAAGGATAATTAAAAAGACCTATAATCCTTTATTAGTATCAAATTAGTGCACAAATATGAGTCTCTTATGAGCGTTTTTAGTAGTGAGCTCGATTTACTTCGTAACGTGCCATTCCTTAAGTTATTGCGGTTTAAGAAGCGCCGGAGGGTGGCAGAGCTCGCCAGCGTGCCTCCTTAGATACGGAGGACCCGTATGAGATTCTGGGCTTCCGGGGAGCCAGTTGAATGATATGAGTGGCTCGCCGGCCTTGAATAACCTGGGGACGTCGTTTATGAGACGTCTGCGTGAAGATTCGTTGTTCTTTGAAGCGTTCGGTCTGGGTAGCTACCGGGGCGCGATGGCAGCGAAACGTGCTGGCCACGGCCGTCTTGGTCGTGCCGCCCGCCACGGCTCCGCACATGAACGCGCGAGCTTCTGGAGTGAATTCATCGTTTTTGCCGCAATTTCTGCTCAAGGCGAGCCCAAATTCGTGTAATTCGTCCCTTATTTGACTGCGTTGTGGTTATTTAAAAGAAGAGGGTGATGGTGGATTGATTTTTGATGCGTCTATGGGGCGCTGGGTGTACGCATAATATTGGTGGGTCAGTGTATAGTCCGAAGACGGCCGTCTAGAATACAAGTCCATGGTGTTGGCACGAAAAACGGTACCAAACGCCGAAGCACGACACGACATTCCTGGAGGAAATATACCATCAAGTTCCAAGCCCAATCCAAAGGCGAGTTCGCAAGCGGTCAACGAGGATGGTCGCGAAATCATCTTGCTTGATGATTCATCGTCAGACCAAGAAACAGAGCCACTGGCACAGCAGGTACCCGCCCGTGACTCCAATACCCGAGCTGCTACCGCATTGCAGGAGGCGCACGATGGCACGACGGCGGGACCCCATAAACCTAAGGTGGCAAGCAGAACAGACCGAGTAAACATACCCACGATGATAACCCAGGACGAGGTACAAGGAAAAGAGTTCGCCTTCGAATATCCTTACGGAAGCGAAGTCATTCGAGTTACTCGCTGTTCCCTGTTCCCGGACTTCCGAACTACGGAGAGTCCCTGGACGGCGTTGTTCAAGATAGACAAGCATTGGACAAAGGAACTCGAGCACTTGCAACGGGGTTGTACCAGCATATCACGACGAGAGCTGATGGACAATGCATCGATAGGTAAGAAAACTCTTGAACATGGCATTGAATACTGGCTGAGAGACTAGCAGTCCAAAACGCGGACTACAAAAGGGCATCCGCCAACAGCAGTGGCTACTTGGGTAAGTTGACCATCACACAAGCTTCTGCCAACCGCCTTGCTGACGAGTCACCTTCTTCTCAGGGAAGAGCGACCGGACTTCCAATCCAAGACCTGCTAACCCATTTGATTCCCCTTCGAGAGTAGGACGTTCATCACAGACAGGGGGTCCTTCTCGAGCCGGCATGGGATACGATCCATATCCACACCCAAGTCTGCGGCCGTACGCGAAATTCTCGTACACCCAGCATACACAACAGGCTGCCCATCAGCCTCAGCCCATACAGCTGGAACCAGCTCCCCAGTTCCCTCCGTCACCACGTTGGCACCCGGTTTCACCTCGGGGCTCCCATATCCCCATGAGTCTTGGCTATGCCAGGATTCCTACACATGGCTTGCCCATCTTCCCACCAACAGGACCTATCCCCCCAGCACAGGCTAGACGCAGGACTTCGCCAACTCCTTCTCGGAACGATGGAAGAGAAACTCCTTCAGGACCAGGAGTAGGTTCTATGACTCACACCCCATCGCGGTTAGATTTTGACCTCACGTAGCGCCCCTCGTCGGCAACAAGTACCAACGACAGCATGCCAAACTGGGTCCTATGGCGAGATGTCGACCATGAGGACTACCGTGATGAAAGGGAGATCAAGAGCGAGCCGCCCTAGGAAACTCGATGGACTACACACATGAAGTAGATGTGATAGATAGCAAATCCCCAGTAATACTAGCAAAGTCCACATTCCATTTTCACTCCAAATACCTACCCACCATGAGCCAGCCGCGTGGAGTATATGTGACACACTTATTGTGTACACAACGGATACAAACCAAGTCCAAGTCCGCCCCTTAGAGCGCTGCCTTGAGACCCGCAATGACCTTCAGCGCCTCCTCCCTCACCCTCTTCGTAATCTCAGCAGCAGGCAGCTCCTCCTTGATCAAGCCGACGCCTGTTCCACTATGGTAGCCCCCGAGTTAGCAAAATCCAAAGTAGCAACAACCACCCCCATGCCAAAAGGATTAAACCTATTGTCAGAAGGATGACTTCGTGTACTTACGACCAGGTGACCATCCTCGAGAGATCTCCACTCTCCTTAGCAGCATTAAACCGCTTCGTATTCTCCTCGAGCGAGACACCCGCCTGCTCATCTTGGAGCGAAGGATGTATCACCGCTCGGCCGTCGTATGCATCAGGCCACGACATGTTGCCCTGGACATGGTCGTGCAGTTGTGATCTTCAGGGTTGAGAAAAGGGGTCAAGTCAGCCAGCCGATCGCTCATCTTAAGTGGGTAGTGAGACAGGGGGTTGAAGGTAGGCAGGACTCACTTGGCCGTGTTGACGCCCCCGTCCGAGGTAGACAGGATGGCCTTCCGCTTGAAGCCCTGCACGTCCGACTCGGTGGCTACCATGTACTGTCCTCACCCGCCCACGTCAGCATCGTACAACACCCAGCCATTCTATGAGCAACCATCCATCACCCTCATCCCTTAACCAGAAACAAAAACAAGCCTACTCACCCGCGTCCCCATCACCACCCCCTCCGCTCCCAACGCCAACCCAGCAGCAACCCCCCTCCCATCCGCCACTCCCCCAGCCGCCCAAACCACGACCTCTCTGCCCCCATCCTCGCGCTCAACCTCCTCCCTCACCATATCCACCACCTCCGGCACCAACCCCACGACCCCGGCGCCCCTCCTAAACTGATGGCCCCCAGCATCCGAACCCTGCGCGACCACCACATCCGCGCCCGACCTCACCGCCTCCCGTGCCGCCGCCACAGTCCCGGCCTGGACTGCAATCTTCAATCCCCAGGCAGCGCCCGCGGACCGCAGCGCGGCGAGCATGGAAGGCAGGGTGTCGGGCGCCGAGGGCGCGGGGGCGAAGAGCCATATCGCAGCCGGGCGGTGCTTGACCAGGATGGGAAGTGTGGTGTGCGCGAAGTGCGTGGTGGAAGGGGCATAGGTTACGAAGCCTACGCCTATGGGGAGGGGCTTTTCACTGCTATTGTCTGTGCTTGGGATGTTGAGAAGACTCGCCGCCTGCGTGAGCTGCTCGTCCAGTTTCTTGAGGACGGGCGAGTCTGGGCTGAAGTCCCGGCCGCCTTGGACGAAGCCTTGGAGTCGTTAGCTCATTCATCAGTGGTGGTGGTGTGTCTATGAGGATAAACTCGATCTCGACGTGGATGAAGCAGGGTAGGTACTTACCCAAGCCGCCGGCCTTGGTCACCTCGGTCGCGAGCCGGGCGTTGGACACGAAGTCCATTGGCGCGCTGACGACGAGCGGGTAGGACGTGCCCGGGAACCAGGTCTGCATCCGCGACCCCGCCATCTTTGCTAGTCGTCGGGTTGCGTTCATCAGACTTGTTGAGGGCGATGAGAGTGCGGGTGATATAGGTACGGTGGAAAGAAATTGGGGCTGGCTCTGATTAGGTTCGCAGGCCCGTCATGAGTAAGCAAGGGCAGGGCCGAACTGCTTGACTGTTAATGATCATGTGAACTACGGTGGTGTCTATGTTCATTCAATGCTCTCCGTTGATCCGTGGAGGAATGCCGGAGTCGATTTGATGACGACAGGCATGTGACGCCGGAGGCTGTACCGGCGGCCCGAGAATGTCTTACGGGACTCCGCGGAGCTACTTAATCCAAGCTGCCCCGCCCGACCTCGGCAATGATTAAGCAGTCATGGGGCCTTCACATACAGTCACGAGGTAAAGGTTCACTCAGGCATGATTAAAACCCGTAATCTGATGTTGTTGAAGAGATGAGAAAATAGGAAATACTTTAATGGGTCGGGTTTACAGGAGCTCTCGGGCCGAGGAGTCACGCCACAAGAAGGCGTAAACATGCAGGAGCATATGGACTTGGGTCTTTGGCATAGACATCCGTATTATGATCCAGTGTTCATCAACCGGGCAGATTTCCGAACTTTTCCAGAAGGCCGCTTGATATTCCCTGATCATGCAGTCTCGAGCCAGGGCATGCCAGCCTAAAGCTCTGCATTCAAAGCTGTTGAACCCCCTCCACAATCGCATCAGTCGCAGCCTCTGTGACCTGTTCACGTGGCGATTGCTCATCAACAGAGAATTCATCGCTGATGGGCACAGGGCCAGGGGTGCTTTATGGATGAGTCTGTTCTCTCCCACTTGCACGCTCGAGAAGGCGAAGACAATCGGAGCTCGAAGCCCTCAAGCTTGGAGGTGCCACGACCATGGAACGTATCAGATCCGTCAGAACGTCAGAATCCTGGAGCGACTGTACCTTTCTCATGATCTTAGGGAGACACTCATGGGGCGGCATGGGAGTCGTTGTCGTCATCTCTGGCAAGATTCCCAGTAACCACATAAGCGTGACACCCAGTGACCAGATGTCGCTCTTGGGTTCCAGTGTGAGATCGGGTGCGCTGAATACGCTACGAGTGACGCTGGGGGAAAGGTTGGGAGAAGGGGGTTTCGTGAAGCTGAAGGCGGTGAGCTTGCAATGGAGCGGTTCTTCCGACTTGAGGAGGATGTTGGTCGGCTTCACGCTGCCATGAGGCTTCACGCTGCCATGTAACAAATTCTGCGGCGCGGCGTGCAGGAAAGCGAGGGCCTTCAGCACCTGCTTCGCGATCTCGATGACCTCTTCTCGACTCCAGCTCTTGCGGCGAAGGTGCGCTAGGTCGCGCAAAGGGAGGTATTCCATCATGAATGCTGACTGCTCCTCACACAAGTCGCCGCATGCGACGATGTGTTCCTTCCACGGTACCTTTAGTAACGAGGAGCGTGAATGAGATCAATCGAAGGAGACTTACATGTTGACATTGGTTCAATATCAATCATCATCTGGCACCTCATTCCTCCCGGGGCATTGTCCCTCCATATCTTGAACACACACTCCTTGCCGGTGTCCTTACATCGGCCTTCGAAGACAAGACTCCGGTGCACCCTCTGTATACGTTCCATAGTATACTCTGCGCCCTCTGGCCCAACCCACACAGAGTTCCATAAGTCGGAGAAAGGAACGGTTCCGTGCCTGCGTTGCCGGTTTGGCAAAATCAAGGCCCGGTCAGGGGTGCATGCCGAACTTTTCGGTCGGGTTCCGTAGAAGTCGACGGACTGGATAACTGGGGGTGTGTTTCTATACTGAGATTCACCCTTCAAGACAGCTTCCTGTAGCTTTGGCGTCCAAAAGACCAGGTACGTCTGGCTCTGGGACAAGTATACTGTCAACCCATCCAAGGCTGCATGCTTCTGAGAGTCAAACATCTTTAGCGATTGCTGTGGTACGGCCGGGGAGTTGACCTTCGGGGTCGGGCAGACCACCGTGCCACCATCGCACAAGTTCTGCAGGTAGGGTTGAGCGCGTGCAAAATCCTCGATCCGTGTATCTTCCACGCCTACATATATCCGAAAGAACTCAGCACATGCACGGAGGTCGCGCCATCTGTCTCCAGAACGTTGCGTAGCTGAATATCACCGTATCGACGGTGCCGAATGTCCACTGAATTTCCTGTGTTCCTTTAGGAAGCGTGGAGCTGGACAAGACCCCGACAGGTTGGCCTTGGAGTGTCGTCTTGGATTCATCGCCCAAGGCTACATAAATGCGAGGCCAAGACGGGCCCAAGATCCGGAAGTAAAGGTATATTTGCCGATTATTCTCCATGGTATCGGTGCCCAGGATTTGAACGATGACCCACGTTGGCGTTGACTCTCAAGCTGAAGTGTGTCTTGGTAAGACGATGGACGACTCCTCGGATTTCCAGCTTGAGAAATGCTTCATATAGGGAAGGAACCGGGCCATATCGTTGTCGAAAGAGACAAAGAAGCGCCCTCTTCCCCGCCAAGTTTCAAGTATGAATCCCTCCCTACCCCCTGGCGGAAGTGACTGCTCAGCTCTCACATCGCTCTGACCCTGAGCTAACCCTTATTTCTTTGAGGCAACGAACCCCATGACGGAACCAGGAGCCAGTTGCGACAGCCGCCTGCATGATCGACCTGACACTCCTCACCAAGACCAAACTGATAACCGTGCCCCATCGCTGATGTAGTGAAAGAGTATTAGAGCAGAACCCAGAACTCCAAAGACCCCGTGATCATCATCCATATGACCAGTCACTAGCTGAAATCATACCGAACACGAGCAGATGTTTGCTCACCGCTCACCACAGAAACCAGAAGGCAATGACCTGTCGAAATTGCTCCAGGTACACCTCGCCGCCCATCCCCCAATCGTGATGGAGACAATCCTAGCTGCGAGAATGACCAGTCAACTCTACGACGGATGCCACTCAGACCCCTCAGGTACAACACGGGCCTTGAAGGCAAACACTGTAGCCCGCTAGGGACACCGTGACCTGTGAAAAGCACCAGAGTGATCGTCTTCGACTTAAGACATCTGCCAGCGAGCAGTGACTGGCCGACTGACCGCCTGACCAACTGACTGAGGAGACAGCCGAGTCGTGAGATAAATCCACCCTCGGCCGTCGTCTCGAAGCAAGTTCAGAAGCATCTCCAGCGCGATGCCAGGTCAAGCCCAGCCAGCCGCTCTATTCAGCTCCCACGCCGCACCTCGGCCTCACCTGGAGAACCTCTTACCCAGCCCTCGTGTGCGCATCCCCTCCCCCAGGACTTGGTAAAACTCACCGTGCGTGCTAGGAGGTAGGTCCGAAGACCCCCTGGCCGCATGATTCCCAGTCGCGGCTCGCACGCAGGCCAAGCCACGCGCCGTACATAAGTACTCACGTACTTTGCCATATGAACTCGAACATAGGGGTACGTAGGTAGTGTAGGTACATGTACCTACTGACCGATAAGCAAGCAAACAAACCCAAAGCCCAAGACACACCCCTCAAGTTCCAACAACCCACATCCCGACCGCCGCATCCGCCACCGTACATGTAGAAAACTCACGCGGCAGTAGCAAAACCGGCAGTAGGAAAACTCACGCGGCAGACTCCAACGTGGACTGTGGAGCGCGGAAGCACACAGCCAGGTACCGTAGGGCGGCGAGACATTGTTGGGAAGGGGTTGAGTCAGTACATCACACATGCATTCAAGATAGCCTGTTCCTTCAGCATCGCAAAAACTCAAAAGTCGCGTGACAACTCGCGAGTCGAGGCTCTTCCCCTCTGGCTTGAACTCTAAGGTGCGTCGTACCTCAGGTGACAGGCCGGCCGCCAGCCGCAACTTCAGACGAAAATGAAGCTCGGACCATCAGTGAGGAACTTGGGCCTCGGCAGCACTCGAGACTATCTCCGTAATACATCTAATCTCCGCATTTCAGGGTCCAACGCATGACATCATCATATCACATACAGGCTACAGCACGCGGTTACAGTTCTCAAACGAATTGTTCTCAAAAACTCATCGATTTTTGGGATCCATTACCGTTGCTGGTAAATCCATCTATCTACTAGTGCAATGTGAAAGTGACGGCCGACCAGGTTGTCCATCCTTTCTTAATGTTGCGGGGCTGCATTCGCCCGTCGCAAATGCTGAAGGCACCGTTGCTGACAATGAAAGACTATTCCCCGAAAGTCTCGCAGATGCCTCGATGAGGAATCGCCTAACGCCATTTATGATGCACATGACTCTTGGTGTCCGAACGAAGAAACCGAAATGCGTCAATGCTAAGTCGAGCTCGTGCCGGCTAGATGCTACCTTCCCAACGCCAATGGCCATGCAAATGATGAATAGAAAGCAAATGGTGAAAAGGGGATACGAGGCCCATGTGTACGCATCTCCACATATGTCGAAGATGTGAGGGGAGATTGTGTGAAGCGCGCTTCATTGATGGTGATGCTGAACCGCTTCATTGATGGTAATGTTGAACTGGAGGCCGCGGATTGCCATATCCCGGCAGAAATTCCGGCACTATACCAGATCGGAGGTCGTTGCGTCGGCCTAATGGTTGGTAGTGCATGTGGTTCGAGCCCATGTGGTATTCGCTAAGGGGCATCGAAGGAGGAGGATTAAGAAGCGTGTTCACCCGCCGAACCGGCTTGTATGGACTTGCTCGCTGCTGCAGATAGACCGAGGGCGAGTTGGATATCGGTGTGTGTGACGCAAAGTGCTCAGTCAGCGGCGACGAACCAAACATTGGCATACCAGTCGGACTATGTCGCTTAGAAGGCGTCCCATAATTCGATGGGATGGCGTATGACGGTGTTTGTGGCCCGCACGTTGCCATGGTGGAACCTTGCGGTACCCAAGACGTCGCTACCGTGGGATACACGGTCGACATCGCTCTGACGTTCGGGTCTAGGGGAGGCAGAGAGATGATGGGCTGCGACGAGAAGCCGTATGTAGTCGGTGGCGCAATTTGACTCGTGTCCAGTGTAAGCTGAGGCACCGATGAGCGTCCCGAATCGGCGCGAATAGGGGTCGGCCGAGCTGAATGAACCATTCCCATAGCAGATTGGCGAGGAGCTCTCTTCGGGGCTGGCTCCATGGCATCGCCACCTTCCAGGCTTCGCTTCCGCACGAGAGGATGTCCTAGGCTCGGTTTCGCAGCCAGCGGAGAAATGGACGGTGTCGGGTGGTAGAAACCTTGCCAATTCTGGCTCGGTGTGTAAGGCGCTGCGAGGGACGAGGACGAGCCCGGCATCGTCGAGGGCAGGATGCTGGTGGGTGAAGGTAGTGGTGATGTAAATCTGCCATGTGTTGGCGATGACAGGTGAATAGGCGGCTGCGTCTGTCGGATTCGCTCCTCCATCTTTGCTCTTTCGCAGTAGTCGTGGTAGCACGCTAGCTTCTTCAACCAATCTTGCCATTGCTCCTTGGACGTCAATAGGCCGTAGCGCATGTTGCTAAGAAACTCTACCTCCATCACGTGAATTTCCTTGACCGAGATGCCTGAAACTTCAGCCCAGGTTTTGTTCGTGTAGGTGTTATCGTCCAAGACTGCAAATTCTTCTGATTAGCCCATGCACTCCAACTTGAGGATCGCAATCACCTACACTTGTTACCCAGCATCAGTGCCACCGTCAACAGCCTGTATTCACTGCCCGGATTGCCATTGACCTTGGGGTTTGTTCTCTTCAGCCGGTACACGAATAGCAGCGCCAGCAGAACTACATTCTGCGTGACTTGGGTTGTCGACAGGACGCTGTGGACCCATTTTTTGTATGATTCACACGGTTCGGTGTATCTGGACAGTCGAGGAATGGGATCGGATGGTCGACGGCTGCTTATGTGCTCGGCGCTCTGTATCGTATCCATGGTCTCGAACCAGAAGAAACATGTCATCTTGGATGTGTTAGTTCCACGAATCCTCCAGAACAAATCGTCGGCTCGAATGCTCGGCACTTACCATCGCAGCAAATTCGTCCAAGTTGCCACCATTCGGGCTGATGCAGGATGGCAGCTGCAGGCTGTGCATCACCATGGTTGAATCCCTCCGAGAGACGGTACCTTCCGAGTGTACACTAAGGGTCCCAGTCGATGCGGGTGACGAGGGCCGTGTCGAGTGTCGCGATGAGGCAGATTTCGATTGCGACGCGAGAGTCGAGGCAGTGAGGGGTTGTGAGTACTGAGGGTACTGAGGTTGGTGGTTCTGCTGGTGCTGGGGCAGGTGCTGTTGCTGTTGCTGTTGCTGTTGCTGTTGCTGTTGATGTTGCGGCTGCGTTCTCGTGAATGGAATGGTGGCCGCATCGTAAGACACTCCTCCTCCCGTCCGACCCGTCTGCATTAGCACACTTGGCTGCCTCGCAAGAGCCACATGGTTGTTGTAGGTGTTGGATAGCGGCGGGTTCTGGTAGGCGGTGCTCATGTTGTCCTCGGCTGGCGGCGTACGAAGACCACCCGTGAAGAGGGCAGCTTCGTGGGCCGGAGAGGTGTATAATACCTTGCGCGAGTTCAGAGGTGGACGTATATGCGGCTGCGGATATCTCGTGGACGATGCTGGAGAAGGGGGAAATGGGCGAAGATGCGAGGGATACACAACGGATGAAGACATATGGGAGGCGTTTCCGTTGGTGAGGTCTGGAAAGGGCGAGGAAGAATGAGGGAGTGAATCAGAGATTGTATGGGACAGCCTCAGTAAAAGAATGCGGTGAGTTCGGGGTGGTGGGGTGATGGTGAGGTGGATGGTGATTTAATGTTGGTCGTCGTCAAAGAAGGTCCAGATGCCGTATTGTGTTGGGCTGTTGCCTCTCTGCCTCCCGCTTGCCTGCTTGAATGTTTTTCACCCTTCACTCCTGCCACCACTCCCTGCAGGTCTGCGAGCTCCGTTGATGGGTGTTGGTACAATAGGGTTAAAGAGACTGAGTACAGTGGGTGACCAGTCATCTCTGATGAGCCATGTCGAATGTGCGAGTCGAGGGTTGTCCTGGGGAAGAACCCTGACGCTCGTTGGAAGGTGCCTTGGGCAGGTGAGGTGAGGTGAGGTTTGTTGCACGTTGCCGGTTGCGGACTGCTGTTAGTTGAGTTGCCAGAGAAGGAGCTGGTGCTGGTGGGGTGTGACGATGGTGTTGAATACGGCTTATAACGGGCCTCGGATGCAACTGGCAACAGGCGAGCTCTGTTTCGGTCTCGGTCTCGGTGGTCACGTTCGTTCGGGTTCTCTGGGTGCAAGGCCGGATACGGGAAGCAATTGGAACTCGGGCGTGGTGGTGAGATGATACACCAACACAATAGCAGAGTTACGAATGTTCTAGGTATGATGGCTTGTACAGGAGGTATTTGGTAATAGTACGTAGTAGCTTTTCGATGGCCGCATCGAGACTGGTCAACCACGATTGGCTGGTTGGCCGGGCTGGCGATGGGTTCGAACATCGATGAACGCCAGGCGAGCTGTGATTGGGTGTGCAGCTGATCCAGAGCCCATACCTGAGGGGCTCGTGAATGGCCAAGCTGACCGTGGGACCTGCGTCGGTGGACAGTGGACTCCCAAGCACCTGCACTCCTTGACGAGCATGGGCCGTGGTCAGGACAGTGGGCAGTCAGTGGACAGGACAGTGGACAGTGGACAGGACAGTGGACAGTGGACAGGACAGTGGACAGTGGACAGGACAGTGGACAGTGAACAGGACAGTGGACAGGACAGTGGACAGTGGACGTCCATGGGTGTGTGAGGGTGATTCAGTGAACACTGGGCCGTGGGGCCGCGGTGTGGCCCAAGAGGACGTTCCATTGCCATCCTCAGGGAAAGACAGACACAATATGCGGTCACAAGGTGACAAGCACAGACAGAAAGAAGAACCTTACCTTGGTACCTTCCATTACCAGAGCCCACCTCACACCACACACCACAACTCAACCCCAAGGGCGCAGGGCCAAAGGGCAAGCGCAGGGCACGAGCAGCAACAAGAGCAGGCGAAGGCGCAGGCAACTGCTACCAGTGCATCCGAGGCTCAGGTGGTACTGTAGCGCAAACGGCGAGTGGGTTCATGTTTGGTTTGGAACTGACGAGGGACGACGGACCAGGGGGAGTGCAGGTTGGATTCTCCAGCAATTCATCTCAGCGATGAGTGTGGTTGTTGAAAGTGGCAGAGTGGTGGAAGTGAACAAGGAACAAAACCCAAGTCAGGGGCGTGCAGGAGACCGAAATGGGGTACACTATGTGGATACACACACGACATCTGGCCAGTCAAGGTACATTAGGGCTTGCCTGGCTGCCTGGGTCCAAAGTAGAGCTGGCCCTGAGCCGTGGGGTGTGGGCGTAACACTCATCAGACAAGGTGAGATAATAATTAGACGTTGTACTATGCGGGCAGGGAAAGCGACATGGGAAAGATTGCAGGCGAAATCAGTCTTTGGTACAAATTGGTAGTGGAGGCATTGATCAAAGTTCAAAGATGGCGGCGAGGAATGGCGGGGGCGTTTAGGCCTCAGTTACAGTTGGTGCAGCACTTACCAACCACCCCAACCTCCTTGAAGGCCGAGCAGGATGGGCTGTTAGTGGGCAGCCTAGGCGGGCGAGCCTGGTTAGTTTCACACCCTGCTTGACCGTATGTATAGTGCGTGTGTCTCTCACTTCTGCAGGCTTTTACCAATGTCGCTACCCTCTGACTGGCTGCTTGTCACTGCACTACAGCAACCGAATGACTCTCTGCTCTGCCCCCTCTCATCAATTGGGCGAGGTGTCGTTCGACTGTCTTTGATGGACGGGCGGGCGGACGGACTACGGCAGGCAAGGCGGTGGCTTGCCTGAGTTGGTTTGAAATGTGTAATAAGACTGCAAGTGACTGGTGGCAACGGCAACGGCAAATGAGTGAGTGCATTCGAGAAGCATCCCATGGGTAGATGCTAGAGACAGCGCAATCCTTCCTTCATGCGCTCGCTCCGTGACCGTGCTGGCAAAAGGCAAATGGTATCGTCACAATCGTCAGGGTATCCGGTACCAGGCTGGGATGAGGCCCGGGCACAGTCACGGAAATGATTGCAGTGATTTGCTGTGGTGTGGATAGCAGGCCGGCTGAAGGCTGTGAGAGTCCGGCGTTCCGCTGGTTGGCCCGTTGCTGGCTGGCTGGGATTCAGAGGGATGCGAGGTGCCTGTTTGTGTGCTGTGTGCTGTGCGCTGTCTGTCTTTCCATCTGGTATGCCTGTCTCTCTCCCTGTGCTGTGGTGGTGTCATTGGCTACGTGCAGTGGGAGTACGGCACAATGTGTGTGCGTGAATTGCGGCAAACTCCATGACGCCGCTGCCGCTTCTGCCGTTGTCGTGTTGGCCGTTTTGGCATTTGGTGGTGTGTCTTGTCCGTTCCATTGATGGCTGGCTGGCAGGGCTGGGCTGGGCTGGGCTGGGCTTCGGCAGCAATACGGAGCGTGGCAGACAAAAGATGCCGAGCCGAAACGGAGCCGTGGGAGTCTGGAGATGGAAACCAAAAGGGAAGTCAACGCATGGAAGGGTGGGGACCTCAGGAATGGGGGGTGTGCGTGGAGTACCTACGTGTACCTGCAAGGCTTGGATTGTAGCCTATCAAACCCTGTCTCCCTCTTCGCCTCTGTCTTCTGCACAAAACTTGGGCTTACCTTACTTGGCTCACGCCCCCCGCCCTTCCTCTCCTCCGCATGTACACGACCCTCCTCCTCTTCCTCCCCCTTTTCGCACCTAATCAACATGAAGTACTCGCTTCCCGTCCAGAGTTCCGACACACTTTACCACATCTAAATTCTGCCTCAATGCCCACCGCCCACCGACCACCACCACTACCACCACCGACCGCCGACCAGGGTTATCTGGAGGTGCCTTACTTCGTACAGTAGCGCTCCCTGTGGCAATTCGCGCACTGTAATTATTGCACTAGGCAAATCACCGCCCCCGGTCTGGAACTGTACGCTTACAAGATATCCCTACAAATCATTAGCCTGGCGTGCCTCGTCAGGAGCGGTGCGCAGTAGACTCCCTGACGAGTCCTCAGCTTGTCTGGGGTTCCATTGCGCTATCATGCACCAATTATCAGTCGGTGAGTTGTGGCTGAAAACAAAGCCTATTGCGTGCGCCTCCATGTTGCGTGTGCATCTCCCTAGTGCCTCTTGCATGTTCCGTGCTGTTGTCAAGAGTTCGAACTGCGGCAGTTACGAGGGCAATGTCTTCGTGCTAGGTACAATTGACTCGTCATTTGGATACGCGGGAGGACGACGCGGCCCATCAGATAGATGCTTGCCGCCATCCGCAAGTTATCCGTGAGCCTCTCCAAACGACCATCATGTTTCGATCCATACTTGCAGCCTCGATGATATAAAAAGATAGAACGAATCCCAAGGGCCCACACATGGTAGGTTCGTATGCACTATGCAAATCTTTCGTGTCGTTCGGGGCTGAAGCAGATTCTGCATCCAATTGATGTCCAAAAGTCGGCCGGATGCTCATTCTCCACTTGGGTTGTCGTGATAGTTTCGTCCGTCTTTCAGGAGGCACCCACTTGAGGGCGGGTTGCAACAGTTACCAGTGAGGGGTTGATATTGTTCAACAAGGACATGGGCAAGGGTTTGTGATATGTGATACTGTACCAGCGAGTCCTAACAATGCAATGTCGTGCTCGACTCGTCACTCGACACGCGAAGTTGCGTAGGAGCAGTACCTAGTACAACGACCAGTTAAAAAAAACCGTCAGATCGCCAATCCTGAGTGGGCTCGTTGAGCATGACCTTGCGCTGAAAACAAGAGCCCTTTAGGCAATGCTTTGATACCGGCAACTTGGATACCCGCCCAGACTGATAACTAGCTAACTGTAGGTTAGCCCAGGTCAGCAACGCGCAAATTGGTTGATAAACTTGCAAAATTTAAATATTATTAATTAACTATAATCCTTATAGAAACAAATAGATTTATTTATTAGTTTTATTTACGTAGTTATATATTAAAGTTATTAAAGTACTTAAATATAAAGTATTAAATTTAAAAAATAGTTATATAGTTATATACGACTTGGCTAGTTTAAAAAATATAACTTTAAAGGTTTATATAAGGTTATTTAAGTGTAATTCTTATTATATTTATCCGCTTTAAACCTCTTCTAATATATCGTCATTTTTGAAGCTCAATTAAACCATTTTAATTAACTTATAACATTTAATATAATAGCATTTTTTATAACACTTAAAACGGCCTTTTCCGCTCTTTTGTTTTTTAGAATTAGTATCAGTCGAAGTAAATCTTTAAATTAAAAAGAATACGGACGATTTTTTACTAGCGTTAAAATTATACGGTTAAAAGCTTTTTTAAGTAAAAGTTAACGTTTAATTAAAGCCTTTTTAACGGAAAAATTATACGTTATAAAGTCTTTTATTATAAACGAGCAAGGGTTATAAAAAAGCGAATAAAAATTATAGGTTTTTTATATAAACGAGCGAGGATTATAAACGAGCGATTTAAAAGCTTTTTTTACGATCGAGCAAAAAAAAGCATATAATATGGTATAATGCTGCCGAAAATAGTAAAGGCGTTATTATCGAAGATTTTAACTGTAAAAAGTCGTTGGATACCTTTATTGTTTAATAAGAGTTCGATTTTGACTTGAAAAGAGAGAATAATTTACCGGTAATAATAAATAAAGAAAGTTTTACGTTATATATAACGTTAGAAAAGATTTGTTTTGTATTAAGTAATAACTTAAGGCTTATAAAAATTAACGAGGCGAAACTTACTAGCGCTATTTTTAAGACTGTTATACGCTAGTTAACAGCTATAACATTTAGTTTTTTAAAAGATATAAAAATCTTTATCACGTTACAATTGACGTACGTTGTTAAAAAGAGTAAAAAAACCAAATAAAGGCGTTTTTTATTAAGACTAAGACGTATAAGTTTAAACTATTTACGAGCATTTTTTAATAAATTTTCAAGTGTAAACAGCTATTGTTTATATTATTGAAAGGCGTTAAAGCTTTAAAGGTCGGCATACGGCTTTACCGGATATTATATATCATAAGTATAAAAACAAAGGACATTTTATTAAAAACTGCTTTAATTGTAAGCCTTGTAATGAAAGCACTTTATAAAAGAGTAAAAGAAGCGTTTCAGCGGTTAAAAAAAGCCGAAGCCTTTAATAGGCTTAAAATGTTTACAAGTACGCTAAAAACGGCTAGTATAATTAACTAAAAAGCATAATATTAAAAAAGCGTTAACGAGGTTAAAAAAGCGCGTAAAAAAGCCGTGATAGCATTATTAAAGCTTATAAATATAGATACAATAAGAAAAAGAGACTATATTAGTATAAATGCCGTAAAGGCTTTAAATAAATGCCGTAAAGGCTACGAAGATGAATACGCGTTAATTAGCTTAAAGTTTTCTATTGAAAGCTTTAGTCTTACCGATTATTTATTAAAAGAATATAATGATTGCTGCTATTTAAATTTTTTAATAAATTTAAGCGTTTTAACCTTTTAAAAGGCTGTTAAAATATACGTAACTAACTAGTCAAAAAGCATGTTAAATATAGTAAGTTTTGAAAAATAATTAAATTGTCATATAAGAATTGAATAGCTCGGAAAATATACCTTTAAAGGTTTATATAAAGGTACTTAAATATGATTTCTATTATAGCTATCTATTTTAAACCTTTATTTCTTAACTTATAACATTAAGTACTATTTAATTAAAGTATAACTATTCTTATTATGTTATATTAACTACGAATTAGATAATTATAATGTATTTAAAAAGTCGTTGTTATTATTTACTTGCTTAAATTTAGGATAAATAAAGCTTATAAGTATAACTAAGTATATAACTAGCCGAATACGTCAATAACCTTATCCCTAATATTAGCCTTATATATTTACTTTTATTTTAATAACAGCCCATACTACTCGGATATACTTGCAAAAAGTGCAAGTCTATTAACCAATTTACGCGTTGCTAACCTGGGCTAACCCCCAGGTTAGCTATATAATAAGTCTGGGCGGGTATGCCAAGCCGAGGTTTACCATCCCCCCTATAGAAGTCGGACACCCCCACTAGTCGGACAGCCAAACCCCACCATCATCACCAAAACACCCCTTTATTCACTTACACGCTTTCAGCCCGATATTAAAGCAACTTAGAATGTAATTACTGCTCTAGATAGCCCTGACCTTGGGGTTTACTCTAATATAAAATCCACCCCGCCTAACCTATGTGATTGGTCATCTATTACCCCGCGTTTCCTACCTCGAATAGCAAATCTACGGCCCTGCAAGGCTCCCTTAAAGCCTTGTTCTATATGCAACGCAGCATTGTATAGCCGCCCAAAATGCCTCCCTATTTGTATACAAAGGATCAAATGGCAAATGCAGTCTTAGATATCACGGATGAGGGCCTGTCTTTACGAAAAAGCGCTCAAAAACACAGCATCCCGCCCCAAACGCTGTCTGATCGACTTAACGGGAAGCCTACGAGGGCCGAAGCCCACACGCAGCAACAGAGACTCTCCCCTGCTCAAGAAACCACTATAATTGAATGGATTTTGCGTCAGGAGAAGCTAGGACTAGCCCCTTCGCACTCCCTAGTTTGTGAGATTGTCACAAAGTTGTTGAAAAAAAAGGGAGATAAACGCCCTTTGAGAGACACCTTCATGGCGGGCTTCAAACGCCACAACCCTCAAATAAAGACCAAAATTAGCAAAAGGATGGAATCAGCGCGCTTTAAGGGGTTTATACCTAAAGCAGTTAACTGATTCTTCGAAATTCTTAAGGATTACGGCTGGGTAAAGCTAGAGAACACGTATAATGTCAATAAGGGCGGCATTATGGCAGGCTATGGTAGCTCTATTTGCCCCTTTAATTCCGAAAAAATCTAATCGTATTCACAAATATTGACTCTCTCGTTCTGGGTAGTTCTGCTACCAAGAAATCCTTCCTGAAGAGCCCTAAGAGCCGCAGTTGGACCTCTTTCATCGAGGCCATCTCAGCCACAGGAAAAATCCTCAAACCGGGTATTATCTTTAAAGACAAGGACCTCCAAGTCCAATGGTTTATCGAGGAGTTCCGAAAAACCGCCGATTGGCATTTTATATGCTCAGAAAATGGCTGGACCTCCAATGACATCGCCTGCCAGTGGTTAGAAGACGTGTTCATCCCACAGGTGGACGAAGTACGAGGAAAAGATCAGTTTGAGGCTGTTCTTTTGATACTAGATGGCCATAGTAGCCACATCTCTGTACGTATATGGAAAAAAAAATTTTTTTTTTTAGACTTCCTTCAAATTTTTGGAATTAATCCGGGCTAACGCATGGTAATAGGACGAATTCATGACCATGTGTTATTTCGCCAACATCTTGCTCTGTTTCTTCCCTGCCCACACCAGTCACGGCATGCAGCCCCTGGATAACGGGCCCTATGACGCCCTGAAGGCTTACTACCAGAAATTTCTCTCGCAGCTGAATTCCTTGACGGATGCCTTGCCTGTTAACAAGATCAACTTCATTCGGTGCTATAGCCAAGCAAGAACTTCTGCTTTTACTAAGGCAAATATCCTCTCTGGATTCAGAACCACTGGATGTTATCCAATCAGCCGCAGGAAGTGCCTAGCACATCCAGAAATCCAGGAAGATAAGTAGAAGACCCCTAAGCCTGAGACCCCTGAAAGCTCTGAACCAGAGGACCAACGGACCCCTACTACAAGTCGGGAGATCATGGATTTCGGCAAAAATAAATCCCCTGGCACCCGCTTGAAGTACAGGAAGATAGCCAACGCATTTGAGACCAAGGAGACGGAAGTTGTCATCCAAGCCCGGAAGATCAAAGCCCTGGAGGCTGAACTAGAGCGGCTACGGCCCAAGAAGCGGCCAAAGATCCCTAATCCTAACAAGAAGTTTAAAATGGTGACAGAGATCTTGTTTAAGAGAGGTACCATTGGCCCTGAAACGCCTGCAGAGGTACAAGAAGAGATGATTATTGAGTCAAAGGATGAAAAGGAAGATGAGGATAATGCCCCTGAAGAGGCCGCTTTGGAGGCCATCCAGCAGCCTAGGTTGACACGTTTCGGCCGCGCAATACGGGCGCCCGCTAGATTGTACAAATGAGCAG